TCAAAACCGAACCGAACATCGATACGGATTAATAAGAGGTTCACGATTTATCGGATAACCGACCATAAACCAATACTTGACTCCATATAAAAAGAATGAATTATTAAAAAAGAATTAAAAAGGGTCAAAACCCAAAAATGTAGGTGGTTGTAGCCTTGCGAGAAGTAGGGGTAGTGTTGCTTTTAATTATATACCACTCGTGATCGAGTTAACCTTTGTCATAGCCTCGTGAATTTTATCATAATGACATACATGATTAATCAAGCTTTACGCTACTAGGATCAAAACCAGCACAAAATAGACCGTACCGCCATGATACCTAAAAAAACTAACTCAGGCCCTACCACCAGAATAACTAAATACCAACTCAGGCCCTACCACCACAATACCTAAATACCAACTCAGGCCTTGCCGCCAAGATACCTAATACCAACTCAGGCTCTACCTCCAAGATACCTAAATACCAACTAAGAACCGAACGCCAAGATAGCTAAAAGCTAACTTAGGCCCTACCGCCATGAAAAAAACCAAGCGAAGCTATACCGTCACAAGAAAAATTCAAGCTACCATATAACCACACAGATATAACCACGCCAAATAGACTCTATGCCACAATACCACTAAAAACCAACATCAGACTATACCACACTCTCTCCATCGCATGCCTTTCATAACATGACATTATTTATTCTTCAACATGACTCATGCCATGACTATCTCACAAAATACTCTCATACTCATTACCAATGTCTAGCTTGTTATATCCCGGACAACCCTATAACATTGCCATCAATAAATGTTTAGCAGGTCATACCCGGAGCAACTTGATTGCATTGTATGAAAAATGTCTAGCATGTTATATCCTGGACAACCCTGTCGCATTGCCATCAACAAATGTTCAGCCTGTCATTATCCCGAACAACTTGAATGGATTGTGAGTAAAAATGTCTAGCATGTTATATCCTGGACAACCCTGTCGCATTGCCATCAACAAATGTTCAGCCCGTCATTACCCCGAACAACTTGATCGCATTGTTTTAAAAATGTCTAGTGTGTCATATCCCGGACAACCCAGAGCTTTGCCATCAATAAATGTTTAGCATGTCATACCCAGAATAACTTGATCGCATTGTTTTAAAAATGTCTAACGTGTCATGTCCCAGACAACCCAAAGCTTTGCCATCAATAAATGTTTAGCATGTCATACCCCGAACAACTTGATTGTATTGTCAGAAAATGTATAGCATGTCATATCTCGAACAACCCTATCGCATTTCCACCAGCAATTGTTTAGCCCTTCATATCCCGAACAACTTGATTGCATTGTCAGAAAATGTCTAGCATGTCATATCCCGAAAAACCTTATCACACTGCTGTCAACAAATGTTCATCGTGTCATACCCTGAACTAAGTGATTGCATTTTTCATTCAATTTGTTTAGCCTGTTATATCCCGAACAACTTGAGTGCTTTCTTATACCATCTTTCAATTTGTTTAGCTAGTTTTACCTCAAACAACTTGAATGTATCGGCATCACCAAACAATCGACCCATCCCTAACATTGTCAAAATTTGGTTCTTAAAATGAGAACTTTGTATACCTCTGAATTACCAAGAGATATACAAAAGGGGGCAACTGTAGACACACATTTTGTCTGGGCAATTTACTACTTTGAACTACTAGTTAAGAGGAGTTGAGTACTCGGTATGTTTTGAATTGACAATAGTCACTCGTAAACATCTCTTTATATGATTAACATTTAGTACGAGTACACTTGTCATGGCTCTATAAGATTAAGCAATAGCAAATCTAAGGATGCCGAGACATCAGAGTTTGTTTTGGACATGGGTCGAGTTGTTAAAATTTGGGCGATTAAACAAGTTTAGCAATAGCTAACTTTATTTGCCAAAAATTGATTAGTGGATTTGGGACTTAACTTGGGAACAATTAAAGATAAGGAAATAAATAATGGTCTTATTTAAATAAATTACAATTTACAAACACTTTACTAAATAAAATTACAAAACTACAAATAAAATGTTGTTACCTAGTAATCTAAATAACTATTACACTTTCATTTACAGATAAGATCCCATGATAAAATAAATTCAAGTCTAAATCAAAGCTTAAAGTCAATCTGGGTCCAAGCCCAAAAGTCAACTTGACCAGGCCCAGTCAACAAGGTCAAACCGATAAAAAATCAATCCGACCAAACCCAAACCGATCTGACCAACCACAGATTGGTCCGACCCAAACCCAACACTGTTCCAAACTTGGGGAACAAGCCGACTCTCCTATAAAAAACACTCCACTATTCTGAATAAGGGAGAGGGAGCTTCCTCCATTATTATTATTATTATTATTATTATTATTATTATTATTATTATTATTATTATTATTATTCATCTTCCTCTTCTATTTCCTCTTCACTCATCGGCAGTAGAGAAAAACAATAGAGAAGCATTCTTCTTCTTCCTCTTCCCCGGGGAAATCCCACCTCCTTTCTTTCTTCGTTAGACAAAAACATGACTTCCTCTTCCCTTCTTCCCCTTCCTGGACATTCCTTTCCTTCCGAATAACACACACAAGAAACAGCAAGCTTCTCTCCTTCCCCTTCAAAATCCCAGACACCAACGGAAGCCCAAAACAGAAAGAAAACAGAGAGGGAAGACAACAAAAAGATGCAGATAGAGTTCATTTCCCCTTCTTTCTTCTTTAGCCATACACATAAAGGGTACTGAAGGCTTCTCCACTTCTGTCACTTTCCTATTGAAACACCACGCCAGCAATCCCAACGGAAAAGAAAGACACAAACAGAAGCTAAAGCACAAAACAAAAAGGAGCCGAGTAGCTATAGAAGTGAAGGACGGTGTGGCAAGAGAATGAGAGCCAATGACAAAGGCCAGAATCATCACCAAGCTACAAAGCAAAGGTTTCTAATCTAACCATTAATATAATCATTATCATACATAATCATTTACTCTTCCTTTCTTTCACCAATTGGTCTTGAAAAAGGAAATACATACAAATGGTCCCTCTCGTCTAGCCCATTCTTAACCATAACCAAATACCATACCACAACCAACTTCCCATAATCAAACGCTTAAACAATCACCATAAACACCATATACAATTTCCAAAATTGAATTCAGGATCAAAATCCAGAAGATGAAACGAGTCAAGACTTTGAGAAAACCAAAAATCATCCAGACACAGTCCACCTAGTATACTCTAACCATCCTAACTCACCAAGAAGGATCGAACCCGTCAAAGTCGTCTTCATTGTCGGTGAGGCCCGAAATGTCGGCAACAGATCCTTTTTCTTTCTTCCATCCCTCTTCCACAATAAAAAACAAGAAAAGGGGCAGAGTCAGAAATCAAATAAAAAAACAAGAACCATCGCAAATCCAGCAAATTAAATAAATCCTTACATGAATCCATACCTCTGTCGTCTTCGCCGGTGGAGAGATCCTCACGCCGATGAGACCCGCAACTCGGCGACTCCTCTTCTGCTCAACCCCTCATGATTTCCTTCCTCTCACCTGGTCAAATCCTAAGAAACCAAAAACCATGAAAACGAATGCAATTAGAATCCTAAGAAGCCCAAATGTGACATGCAATAAAAAGAAAACATAATTTCTTACCTGGTCCCCGTCGCCTTCACAATGTCGACTTCTGCCTTGTTCGTCTCCGACCGACCCCCCCCCCCCCCCACTTATTCTTCATATCGTTCAGTGAACATAGAAAGAGGAAATAGGGGATGGCACAAGGGAGAGGAAGAGGAGGAGGATGGTTTGTAAAGAATATCGAGAAGAAGAAAAAATTAGTTATTGATCGGGAGAGGAAGAGGTTTTTGCTTTCTCTTGTTCGTCTTTCTTTCAGAAGAGAGTGAGGAGGCAGAGAGTAGGGCCGCCCACTTAGTGTAGCAAAGGTCAATACAAAATGGATTAGGTGTTCATTAGGTCTTAAAAAGGGATTATATGCCCTTATCCATAAAAGACCAAGATACCCCTAAATATTCTCCAAAACTACCATCTCTTGCACCGCACTTCTGAAAACGAAAATAACATAATAAAAATATCATTTATGCACCCCGTCAACATTTTCTCAAATTATCCATTCCAAATTCATGATTACCAAATTAAATTTTTTTAAACACATATTATTATCTGAATCATCGATCAATAGATCAAGTTATGATCACATCCCGACTACTCGGGTACGTAGGCAACCAATAAGTTCAAGTCCAACTAACAAATTTTTCTCAACAATTTAATGTGTAATCGTTGACACTTCAAATCACTATTTTAACGAACTACGTGGACTTTGATCCCGACTACCCGGGTACATAGGCAACCAATAGGTTCGAGTCCAACTAATTAAAAAACTCTTTCTTCGCTTTTGAGATTTTTACATCAATTGATGTAAGCTCAAATTTTAATAACAAAATACTTAAATTAATTGAATGCAATAATACGCAATAAGCTACAAATAATGAAACACCCAACCTTTAAAAACTTATCGATTTAAGTAGTACCCTACACGTAACCTTACTCGTGAACCCAATCTATACAATTCCGCAGACCAAATCCCGGGGGCCGACCCGGACCAAAGGTGGTTGATCCACCTCGAAATATGATCGATGGCAACTCCGAGCGATTCGCGACGGATCCCCCGAACTCGATGGGCGGTTGCGACAGTACCTACCGGCAATAACCATGCTACTCCAATGTGCGCACAACTAAGGAGCAAGTTCACTAAAAAGGACAATAATGTAGTTCCTTGTGGATGATTGATTTAAGAGAATCATAGACATATAATATATAAACCATGAGGAGCAATCATACTCTTTGATTCGCATACCCTTTAAGACATCATCTTAAGACATATGGTATAACATTTTATTTGAATGCACTTCATATCACATCATTCATTAATTGACTAATGTCAGAATTTCACAATAAAAACTTATATATCAATTAGTGAAGTCAAATTCAAATGTTTATGCATATCAACTTTGGCACAAATCTAACATCTACCTAAGACTCTACTAATTACTTGTTCCAACAACTCATGCCAAGCGCAAAAATCTATACCACTCATGATTTAGTTAAACTGTCACATAATCCTCATGAATTTTATCGCCATGATACACATGATCAAAAAGGCTATACCGCCACGAGACAAAATTCACATCAGGCTCTACCACCACAAGAAAAGACTACGCTATATTGTCATGACCATAACAATCCAAGCAGGCTATACCGCCAGGGAACAAGATAGAACAATATCAAGCTATACCGCCATGGATAAAAATCCTAAATCAGGCTCTACCGCCATGGGACCACAAAACCCCAATCAAGCTATCCCGTCGTGGGAACAAGATAGAACCAAATCAGGTTATATTGTCATGAATAAAAAAATTCAAAATCAGACTCTACCGCCACAAACCCCCAAATCAGGCTATGACGCCATGGGAACATGAAAAGAATGGCTAGTACACAAACCCCAATCAAACACCAAACTTGGGATCTAATCCGAAGATTACATGGCCAGTACACAATCCCTTGGGTATTGTTTGGAAACTTTAATCAGGTATGGAGTTATGAAGAAAAGAATGAACAGAACCCACCAGATATACAAAATATGGAGGCTTTCCAAGCCATTCTAGGTGAGTGCCACCTAGAAAATCTTGGCTATTATGGGAATATTTTCACATGGGACAATAGTAGAGTAGATGAAACATTTATGGAACAGAGGCTAGACAGGGCGATGACGAATGGAAGGAATGGTTCCCTAAGGCTAGGGTCTACCATCTTGATAGATGTGTATTAGACCACCTACCAATAAGAATGGAGTTGAATCTACGGCATGAGAAGGTGAGATGGAGTTGGCATTTCAAGTTTGAGTCCTACTGGAAAAATCACGAAGAATGCAAACCTCTTTATTGAATCTAAGTGGATGCGAGATCCAGATAAAACATTAGATGAGAGCCAAAAAGAAAATGATAGAAAGAACACTGCAAAGATAACAAAGCAGAAAAAGGACAAGGTTGGGATATTCCAATGTCGAGTTCTGGAAAAAGAATTGAATGAGGTGTTGTATCAAGAAGAACAAAAATGGAAACAAAGAGCAAGAACAGATTTGCTGAAATAAGGGGATAGAAACACAGGTTTCTTCCACCATAAGGCTTCTAACAGAACAAAAAGAGCCATAGTCAAATCATTTCGGGGAGAAGATGGAACTGAAGTGAAAGGACATGAAAGAAGAGGTACTTTTTCAGTACTAAATGATCAACTCCTAGGGCTTTGAAACAAAATTGGAAGAGTTTCAAGAATCAGAACCAGAAGGTCCGCCCCCATCGGAATGGTGCCCCTCGAGGCAACCAAATGGTCACGACCCAACCCTCTAAGAATGACCCTTTGTTTCTCTGTTGTAACTGCTAGAAACCAGATCATATGGGACAAAAGTGCAGGAACACGCCTAACATTGTTGCTAGTGTTAACCTGAAGGAGGAGGACTTGGTGGACTGGCCATGATCATAGATATGATAGCTGAAGTTAACCTCACCGGTAACTCAGAAGGATAGTGGCTAGATAATGGATCCTTGAAGCATGTCTGCAATAACCGTGCTATGTTCAAGATGTATAATGAGGCGCATGCTGATAAGAAAGTGATATTGGGGATGGCCTACACCACTATGGTTGCTGGTTCTGGGGAGGTGGAGCTGAACTTTATTTTAGGAAAGATGATTATTCTGAAAGACGTCTTGCACACTCCAGAGATAAGGAAGAATCTTGTTTCGATCTATCTTTTGAATAAGGCTGGATTTACTCAAACTATTGGGGCTGACTTGTATACCCTCACTAAGAATGGGAACTTTGTGGGAAAGGGTTATACTTGTGATGAGATGTTTAAGTTGAATATCAAAATCAATAAGATGAATTTGTTTGTTTACATGCTCTCTGATTTTAATGGGTTGCATGCTCGTATTTGTCATGTGAACACACGAATTATGAAGAATTCATGCATCTTAGGACACATCCCTAGCCTCTTAACGAATGAATTTCATAAATGTGATTTATGTAGCCTAGCAAAGATAACGAAAACGTCCTATGAATATGTGGTTAGAGAATCAGAACCCCTAGATCTGATTCATTCTTATATTTGTGACCTAGATGGGACGTTAACCAGGACTAGCAAGAGATACTTTATCACGTTCATAGATGATCGCTCTGATTATTCCTTGGTTTATTTGATGAAAATAAAAGTGATGCCCTTGATATGTCTAAGGTATTTTTGGTTGAATTTTGAAAATCAGTGCAACAAAAATGTAAAACGACTTAGGAGTGATAGATGATTAGAGTACTAATCTGTTCAAGGAATTCTATAGCTCACATGGTATCATTCCTGACCACGAAACCATATTCAAATGAAATGAATGGTAAATCTGAGCAAAAATATATGACGTTTACAGAATTAGTTGTGACTATTATGCTCAATTCTGGAGCTGCTTGTTCTTGGTGGGGTTATATTTTGTTGACTGTGTGCGATGTGCTTAATCGTCTTCCTAAAAATTATAGAAAAAATCACCATATGAGATTTTGAAGAATAGACCACTTAATTGACCTATTTAAGAACGTGAGGCTGTTTGGCCTACGTAAGAAATTTGGATCCTAAGAGGATTAAGCTGGCTACTCGAGCATATAAGTGTGTCTTTGTTGGCTATGCTGCCAATAGCAACGCTAATAGATTCTATGATTTGAATGATTGTACTATAATAGAATTCAATGACGCTGACTTCTTTGAGACTCAATTTCCATTTAAAACGAGAAATATTGGAGATAATGTAATGTCTCTATTAGAGATAACTGAATTATTGTGGGTGTTGGATCTGAGTATGTACTCATAAGAAGTTAACGAGCTAAAATCTCCAAAGATTTTAGTGAAAACTTTACTACAATATACACCCTCGAAGATCCTAAAAGTTTGCAGGAAGCGTTGTCTTCCATAGACGCAGACTTGTGGGATGAGGTTGTTAGAGATGAAATGGATTCGTTGAAGGCACATAAGACTTGGCATCTTGTAGACTTACCTCCTAGCTGCAAGGTCTGATGTAATAAATGGGTTCTAAAAATGAAACCGAGACCTGATGTTACAGTTGATAGGTTCAGAGCTCGCCTAGTAGTTAAAGGTACAAGCAGAGAGAGAATGTCGATTTCTTCGATACCCATTACACCAAATGGATGTTAAAACTGCTTTCTGAATGTTGATTTGGACGCAGAAATTTACATGGAGCAACTTGAAGGGTTTTTTTGTTCCTGAACGTGCCTCAATAGTCTGTAAGTTAGAAAAATCATTGTGTGATTTGAAACAGGCTCCAAAACAGTGGCATGAGAAGTTTGACAAACTAGTTCTCGCACATGACTTTAAGGTGAATGAAAGTGACAAGTGTATTTACTACAAATTAGAAAATAAGACTTGCACTATCATATGTTTGTATGTGGATGACATGTTAATGTTTGGTTCAAATATTCACATGGTCAGTAAAGGAAAAGCCATGTTGAGAGAGAACTTTGAGGTGAAAGATTTGGGCGAAGCTAAGTTTATGCTTGAAATCCAGATAACTAGAACAACAAATGGGTTTTCTCTAGATCAATCTGGTTACATAGAGAAGATCTTGAAGAGATACAACTATTTTGACTATAACCATGTGTGTACTCCGTATGATACTAGTGTAAAGCTACTCAAGAACACTGGAGACAATGTAAGGCAGTCTGAATATGCTAGCATCATTGGTAGTCTTCGTTATGCTGCAGATTACACTCGACCAGACATTGCATATGTCATGGGATTGCTTGGCATGTTTAATAGTTGTTGTAGTACAAAGTAATGGAATGCTATTGAGAGGGTCAAAAGAAACTTCGAGAGAACAACAAACCTTGGTATACACTATCAAGGGTTTCCTACTGTACTAGAAGGGTATAGTGATGTGAATAGGAATACCCTATTAGACGACTCCAAGGCAACCAGTGTGTAGATTTTTAACATCTCTAGATGAGTTGTGTTGGAAGTCTAAGAAACAATCAATCTTATCTCAATCAATTATGGAATCAGAGATGATAGTACTAACAACGACTAGTGAAGAAGCGAGTTGGTTGAGAGGATTATTGTCGGAGATTCCCTTATGGGAAAGACCGGTCCCTCATGTATTGATCCATTGTGATAGAATCGCAGCTATCGCTAAAGTTGAGAAAGGATACTATAATGGAAATAGATGACAGATTCGTCGTAAACACAGTACAGTAAGAGAACTCCTAATGGTAGGATCAGTGAGGGTGGATCTTGTAAGATCCCAACATAATCTAGCTGGTCCTCTGATGAAAGGACTAGCTAGAGAGAAAGTCCAAAATACCTCCAAGGGTATAATACTTATGCCTACCGAACCACGGACTACAAATGATGGTAACTCGACCCAATAGACTAGAGATCCCAATAAATGAGTTCAATGGGTAATAACAAGTCATGAGTAGTATGTAAAAATTTCATGCATAGTGAAGCATCAATCCTAAAGTAATGAAGGTTGAGTTAAACCTCTTAATGAGTACCCCATGCGGGGTGAAGTACTTTACTTTGGGGGTACTTTTGATAGACTCATCTGTGTGAATGTGGGATTGGGGCCGCTACCTGTGGAACTTTGGAGGCACAAAGTTGCTAGAGCGTTCACTAAACCGGGATAACGTGTAGAGCCATAAACACACGGGGTAAGAGAGAATTTCACTCAATGAAAGATCTCGTGTGCTACAATGTTCGAATATAGTTCAAGACTATGAGTCACTCTTATGAAATCAGAAGTGTAACCACTACGCTAAGGTTCAACTCGAGAGAGACTTTAGTTTATGCTCGATCTTATGGATATGTTGATTCTCATAGATAGTTTCAGAACTATTCAAGCGGAGGATTGTTGGGAATGAAAGGCTTGAATAGCTTTGAAAGGGTCTCAAATATAGAATACCACATTGGTGGGAGAAGTCCTACCAGAGGGGTATAAGGGTATGACTCACGCTCTCCTAAGGGCATCTCGCTTGGGGTGACCCACTTTTGTGGGAGAGGGAGGACCTAAATGACCACTATACACACGCGTGCGGTACGTCTGTCCAGTCGGTTGGTCGAGTGGATGGTTCGGTTCAGACTAATTCTTTTTGGAGAAAATTTTAACTTAATTATTCCTTATGCTTAACGAAAAGGATAATTAATCGAAAAGGATTATTCGAGAGATAATTCCTTAGCATACGCGTTTTAATTAAGGAGATATTTATCTCTTAATTAAATCGTGACTTATTCCCCACGAAAGAGGAATATTCTGGGGTCTTGTATTCTATAAATAGCTGACCCCTCAGACCCTCTAAACACACCTTCAAAGAGTAGAAACACGAGAGAGAGTGACTTTAGAGATATCCAATTTTCGCACAAAATCGACGAGCAACAAGAGTGGTCTTTTTTTATCCTGGAGGCGGGTCAACTAATAATCTATTGTGAGCAACGAGAGGCAGTGTCATGAACGTTTTAAAGAGAGCGACCTAGTTCAAAACTCAGCTAGATTTCGATAACCTGTTTACTTTTTATTCGATTTCTAACAATGGAGGCGGGATTGCAGAGCAACCACTGTTGTGTTGGAGACTTGGAGTGAAGCCGCTGGAGAGGACGACGAGTGGGGTTTGAGGGTTGCTAATGCTTGAGGTGGAGAATTAGGGTTTTGTGTTTGTCCCTTTTTTCCCTTCACCAGATCAAAAGGCGTTGCTGCATGAGGAAAGTATCTTTTTTCTCTCTTGTTTTTTTGGTTTGAGCGGTACACATTAAACCTCCCGTTTTTTTGCGGTTCAACCGCTAAGAACCGGTCGAGAAGTTTGTTTGCCTCATATGATAATATCGTCCCAATTTTGACTTCGCTACTGGTATTTAGAGGTTCAAACCGTCGGTACAATATGATATTTTAATCCTTGCATTTGACAGGACCTTAATAACTTTTTGTCGATGAAATATAAAAAAACTCAACGTGATTAATGAAATCGAATGAAATTTTTTTTTTTCTTATCACCAAATCTGAATAGAAGAATCCTATCTCCCTCAGATTTTCACGTTAAAAACATTTCTACATTTATCCTTGAAAAAAGGAAATATCTCTACTTTCCCGTAGTTGTAGTCAATAGTTTGAAATAATGAAGTAAAAGTGTGAACATGAACCCTGCAGTCTCCTCCCGATTTGAAAAACAAAGGAAAACAGTAACAACAAGCACCGAAACCCCGGCAAAATATGGAGGGAACCAATGAACCAACGGGAAGAAGAAAAAAAAAATACTGAAATCGGGAAAAATATAATAAAGGAAACCAAAATAAATTATGGAAATCGTACGTTACCTTTCCAATCTCCGGAAACAAACAAAACACCACAATTCCCACCCAGCCATCCCCCGCGTAGACGCTCCTCTCCAGTATCATAGGGACAGTACAGTCAATTCACCACGTAGTCACTCACACAACATGCCATTCCCACCCCGCTCCTCTCCATAATAATAGAAAAATCAACAATTAATTTTCCTTTTTCCGCAAAAATTTTCTTTGAACACCATGGCGCGAAAATCTCCTGATTCTCCCGCCCCCTCTTCGCGACCAAACCCTCTTCTTCTGCAAATCCAATCTCCCCCACGTTCCTCACCCTAAAAACCTCATCTCCTTTATTTCCGCCCCCGCTCCTTCCCCTCAAATCCCTCTCTCGCTCTCTTTCTCCGGTGACTCCGCCGCCATGCACCCCCATCCTCACCCTCACCCTCACCACCACCAGCCCCACATCTCCCCGGCGACTCCCGGCGGCTCCACCGCTTCATTCGACTACAACAACAGGCACTCCAAAAAGCAGCGCGGCAGCTACAACTGCGGCAGATGCGGCCTTCCCAAGAAGGGCCACGTCTGCCACCTCCCTCCGCCGCCCGCCGCCGACTCTCCCGTCGCGGTGGTCACGCCTGCTCCCACCTCCTCCTCCTCTGCCGTTGCTGCCGCAGCCTCGCTCTCCTCCTCCCGACCCCCGCCGCCGTCATCCGTTCGCCACCAGAGCTCGAACCTCCGCAGAGCGCTATCGTTTGACGATATCGACATGCGATGTGACTCCCCGGAGCTGGGGGAGCTTGGTTCCGAGCTGGATCTGGATGGATCGGGGCCCGGCGGGCTGCCGTCGAGCTGTACGTGGGAGGTGCTCAGGAGGCTGCCACCGGCTGGGCTGTTGGCTGCGGCGGCTGTGTGCAAGGGGTGGAGGGATACTGCTAAGCGGTTGTGGAGAGCTGCGGAGGAGCTCAGGATTAGAGTTCCTCCCCGAGCTCAGCTAGGGTTTGTTGGATCTGTGTTGCAGAAGTGTCCTGGACTTGTTAGGCTCAGTCTTAGGATGGAAAGGTTAGGGTTTCATTTTCCAGCCGAGGAGATTTATTTTGATTGGTATTGTTTTTGCCAGATCCGTTGGTCTAGTGCTGTGGATCGGTTAAGATTTAAACCACATTTTCGAGATAATGGTTTGAACGGCTGAAAATGGGCACTATCCCTGCTTGGGCTGGACAATGACCAAGATCGTTATTCAAATCAAATGAAAAGATAAAATTTTAAATTGACCTGCAGATGATGAATCGAAAATGTTGATGAAACTGCTCAGACGTTTGATCTAGGAATCATACAATGCCGAACTTGAAGGAACTAGTGTGGTTCCACGAATTGACAAATGGTTGCACTTGTTTTCTTGGCTGCAGTGATGTGGAAGCAACAATGCTGGCTTGCATAGCGTTTTCCTGTCCCAATCTGGAGTCCATGGAGATATGTATATCTGAATCTGCAGTCAATCGCATCACAGGGTAATGTTTTCTCGGTTTGCATAATGGATCTGCTCTGTGATGTAGTGCTAGTTTTTCAGCTGTTTAGTGATTGGATCCACGAGCTTTTCACACATGATCTCAGTTTGGATCTTGTTACTTCACCATTCAAAGCAAGCATTAATGATCGAAAACTAGATTGAATCTCTAGATAGATCAACTAGGTGCATGATCTCTGGCTTGGGCGGTCAGTTGTTGTTTGGCAGCAATTGCGGGTTGGAGTAGTTTTAATTACATACCACCAGTGAGGTGCATTTGATAGCACTTAAATGTATATAAGGGCACCTAGCGTTTTAAATAAGCTTATAATAACTTTAGACATCCAAGTTGATTCTTCTCATGATTTATGATGGAATGAGTTCAACATTGTCTGTTAAGACTTCATTGTTGTTTGCAATACTACGATACGGCTTATGATGTATTTTCATCATTTTGTGTGTCATGATGTGGTGTACTTTTATGATGTGCTGATAAATTAGATATGCTCTGCAATGCACTATCTGCAGAGATGAGTTGGGCCGTTTTGTTGCTGACAAACGTTGCCTTACAAGCCTTAAGATGGAAGGATGCTCTAATCTGGGGGGCTTTGTTCTCTGTTCATCGAGTCTATCCACCCTTTGGCTTTCAGATCTTCATTCTCTATCTAAAATGGTACTGTTCATTATTCTTTTACTTACTATTAATCTATGATTTTGTTCTGAACTACGAAAAATATCTTTAGCAATGCTGATCATTTGGTTGTGCTTTTGTGCAGGTGTTTAACTGCCCCAACATGAGGGAGATTTCGCTGGAATTTTCCTGGCAAGAAAATGACATCACCGATCTTGTTGGAATGGTTGATAATATGGGTAGGAGTTGTAGTAGGTTGCAGAACATTCACATTGCATCTGTTAGGCTTTCTCATGCCGCTGTGCTTGCACTTACAGCTGCAAACTTAAGGTATGTCGAGACTTGCTGACGCCAGAGTCTATGTTATAGTTCAGAATTGTATTTGTACTTCAACTTCATTGAGGGTGACATCCCAGATGGACATTCTTATATCCATAAGAATGTGATATAATGGTCTCTTGGTTTCACAATGATGTAGGAGTCTGAGAATGCTTTCTCTTGTGCTTGGAGCTGGTATTACTGATGCATCTGTTGCTGCCATTTCTTCATGCTATTCAAAACTTGAATTGCTTGACCTGAGTGGGTGAGTTCTGCTTTCAGAGTATTCTCTCCATCCAAGGGCTCGAACTCTAGAAGCTTTGGCTTGTTGTCATAAATCCTTTGAAACGGTGTTTTGACAATTGAAAGCTCTGTTCCAGGTCCAGCATTAGTGACAGTGGTATTGGAATGATCTGCAATGTGCTTCCTGGAACCTTGTCACGACTGCTCCTTGCTCTTTGTCCTAACGTCACTTCGAGTAAACTTCATCCCCCCCTTTTGTACTGTACTTTGTTAGTTTCATTTTGGCCTAAATGCTTAATTCAACAATCCTTTCAATTTTCAGGTGGAATTCAATTTGCTACTGCCCAGTTGCCTCATCTCGAACTCATGGATTGTGGCATGACCATATGTGACCCAAGTTCTGATAGTCCAAGCAGTGGCGGAAGTAATGAATTTGAGTTGCAGACGACATTTGAAAATAAATTACACCTAATATACCAGAAGCTGATTATCAAGCATGCCCGACTTAAAAAACTCAGCCTGTGGGGCTGTTCTGGCTTGGATGTGAGGACTTTTTCCCTTCAAAACAGTACTATATGTGCAGCTCGATTTTATCTTGAAAAATTTCTTAGCTAATTTTGCACTTAACTCCTGCAGGCTCTATGCCTCAACTGCCCAAAACTCAATGATCTGAATCTCAACTCCTGCAAAAACTTGCATCCGGGTATTTGTTAGTGATTTCTTGTCATGGGTTACAATTTTCTTCCGTTAGAAGTGTTGTAAGTATCATTTTCTAATTGACATGTACATTTTCCTACTGCTGTTTTGTGTACTCAGAGAGACTGCTCCTTCAATGTCCGAGTTTGGAAAGTGTACATGCAACAGGATGTCACAAATTGTTGGTTGCAAACATCAAGAACCAGGTGAGCGTTATCATGATTGAATTTGAATATCCTTATATTGTGGCAGCATGCTTACTTTCGTTGTGGTTGGGTTTCTAAAAGCATCAATTGAATAAGCGTTGCTGCATGCTTTTGCAGGTGACTAATAATAGCAGCCATACCGTTTCTGGGAAAACGAACTTTCTAAACAAAAGGGCACTTGATGGGTCAAAGAGAGTATGGGCACCCTACGGGCTTGGGCAGCAGCAGCATCAGCAGGTTAGTTGAATTTTATGTTCAATATTGATTCCAAATTGATTTGGGAGTCATTTGGATCCAGGTTTTTAATTTGTGGGATTTTGGCTCAAATCACTGGTTTAAAAACCCAGGTTTTTAATTTGTGGAATTTGTGTAGAATTTTAAAATAGCTGATAACCATCAGCTATTTCATAATCCCACAATTGTGGGTTTCTGAAATCTCTAATATTTAAAATCTCTTATCTTATAATTGCTTTCCAAACGAGTGATTTTAATTAAAATCCCACACTATGTGGGATTGTGCCCAAATCCCACACCCAAAACCTGCATCCAAATGACCCCTTGGTATGGCTGTCTTGGGATCTTGAATTGGTTCTCCACTCGTCACTGAATTGCCCATGTACGTTGCAGGAGTTTGATGATGATAAGAAGAGGAGAAGAATGGGGAGTAGTAGAAATTGTACCGTAGTTTTAGATTGATCGTGATGTTACCTTGTGTGTACACTGTAGACATAACAGGACAGTAAGCAAAGGGATGGCAGTTATATGAGCTGTGAATCCCAGTAAGCTTTGCACTGCTTGTAATTTGAGGATAGTTCATAATGGGCAGAATTTCTGCCAGAGCTGCTGCACCTGTAGAATTTGCAATTTTCTTATATTCAACTCTGGCGTAAGACAGCTTAAAAAATAGATCAAATGTAGTGAGGTTGGACCGAACTGGATGTTATTGTTGGAATTGTTTTTGCTCTTTTAATCAAATAAAGACTAGAAAAAAGTGAATTTTGATACTGATGTTATAGTGTGGTTGTTGCTTTGTTTGAAGCATACAAGAGATGAATATGTACATTGGTTTCTCAGTTACTAAGTTGAATGGCAGAACAAGGAAACTGGGAGCAACCTTGGAGCAGGTGAGCGATGCGCCTGGATGTACAGGGGCGAGATTGCAGCTGATTTTGAATTGGAAAATAAATAAGGGTCTGCTTTGGAATGGTTTTGCTATACCAACTCTCGATGAGATGCTTTGTTTGAATTCATAAAAGATAAGTCAATTTTGCTACCATGACTGCACTGGAAACAAAGACTAACTGAGGCAGTAGGGATGTAAACCCTTACTTTTATGAACAGTAAAATTGTAGGCGATATTATCGTATGGAACAGTGTCCCTACTTTTTAGTTACTTGCGGTTTTAATTAATTAATTAATAATATTCTTGAATAAAATTCTAAAAGTGCTTTTTAAAACCAAGGCTAATTGCATATTCTTTAACAATAAGTCAATAGAACTTGAATTAAAGAGACCCCTGACCTAAAATTAATTTAATATATTTAAATTTAAATACATTTTACTGTTCACTAAGGTTTTCAGTTCCCTAACCGTTCTACTAATTTGTACATGTTGAAACAATAAAAGGACTTCACTTAACACTCAGCAAACCAGGGGAGGGACAAAGCTGGGCTGTCTCTAGGAGCAGCTAATGACCAAAGAAGGGAGAAACCAAAACAAAGGAATCAGATATTATACAAAAATTAAAAGCGCGTCAAATAATATTTTAACTAGACTAAAGAGATATAAATTTTTAATAAGAATTTGAATAGATAAGTAAAATTGTGGATCAATTACAATATTAGATCGGTTCTTAGATATGGTCGGTCAACTATGGACTAGCCGGTTTTTTGTGAACCACAGAAGTTGCTCGGATTTAAGTGGTTCACCGATTCAATATTTTTTCCAAAAAAAATTAACCACTAAAAAATCTGTGGGAGCCACGAATTTTTAATTAGAACGTAACGAGATCGATAAAATCGTGTACCAGTTACAATATCGGATTAGTTCGTGGATTTAATCAGCAACGATGAACTAGTCGGTTGTTTGCGACTAGGCGATGAACTGCAAAAATCGCTTTGATTTAAGTGGTTCACTGGTTCAATGTTGTTTCCCAAAAAACTTAACTACTAAAAAAATTAGGCTAATGTCTATTTTTTATCCAAACTTTTTTCAGATTATTTTATATTATCCAAACCTTTTAAAATGCTATTAATTAGCCAAATCTTTTGTAATGCATCAAAATATTAGCCATTTTACGTTATTGTAGATAATTTTGTAGTTGTCAAAAAGAAAAAAGTAGATAATTTTGTAACTCTTTTCTTACTTATACTAAAATTTTGGAATGTTGACCTTCATGTTTCTCTTCCAAGTCAGTATCATGCTGCCAAATCAATATTACTAACTGAAAGTTAACATTTGGCTAATTCTTATTATTTTGATAGGTTTGACTAATAAAAAAGAAACCAAAAAAGATTTGGCTAATAAATAATCATTAACCAAAAAATAATGGGAGCCAGAAACGTGAATGCTAACTAATCACAATAACCAGTTTGTATACTTCTCCATTTCATTTTTGAATTGCATATCATCTTCCTTTATTTAATTCCACATTTGGCTTCTTCGTCCAACACTACTTAGTATCTTATTTATGTATTCTAATCTAAAGGATCTATAAACGATTCACCAACCGCTTTATAAAAATTAATGATTGAACTATGAACCACTGACTTTTCAGTTCAATTTCCAGTCCAACTAAAAACGCAAAGATTTTCTACTTATTATTATATCATCATTTTCCTCTTTATTCTCTCCCTGGAATTTAAAAACATGTAATTTTGAATATAATTTCACTTTTTTTTTTTGTTTCTCTTTAGATCATTCCTTCCCACTTGAGTTAGAATCTTCTACAATTATACACAAATCTCGGACTATATTTATGCATATCAAAGAAAGAATCATCACTGAAACAATTATCATCCTAGAAAAATAATTATAATCGTAAATGCACCACTGTAAAGGATCATATTCATGGGCAACCATAACAACCGAATAATTGACCACCACGATGCAAAGCGCGATTCCCTGTCTAGTTAATATATATATAGAGGAATACCAATTACTGTTCACTAAAAACTTTAGCTTTGGTATCATTTATTTTAGCTTTACATAAATGGGTTTGTTTTTTTAGACTGTGCTATTGTTGGAGTAATGTGTTTGTTTTTGTTGTTGGCCCTTTTTTATATATTTTATTTTAAACTTGTCTTTATGTATAACAATGTCATCATTAAAATCGTTAAAATGTAATACGAGTAGAGATGACAATGAGTCGAAGCCGGATGATGCATATTCATTCCCCTACTTAAAATAATTCAGGTTTTACACATATTCATACTCATATAACTTATAAGCATCAGGTAGAATATCAAAACCATACCATACGCGATCGGGTATCCACGATTATCTATGAATAATAATTATTCTTTATAATTTTAACCAACATGTTAACAACTGTACATATACTGACATTATCTAAATGATAAATTACAATAATAAATTATTTCAATGAATAAAATTAATTAAAAAAATACAAATTCATGAAAATATCATATATGCATGATAAATATAAAATATGTTGAGAAAATAATGATAATTAAAAAAAATACATATGCATATGTAGAGCCAGATAGTGCATATTCATTCTCCTACTTAAAATAATTCGGGTTTTACACATATCCATACTCATATAACTTATAAGCATTGGGTAGAATATCAAAACCATACCCATACCCGATTGCAATGTAGTCAAAATCGCGCTTTAAAACTTAAAAACTTACGATTTTACGTTTCTAGGTCACTAAAAAGCTTTTACACAAAATCTCAGTTTTTATAACTTATGTAGTTAAAAACTCCGCTTTAAAACTTAAAAACTTACGATTTTACGCTTCTAGATCACCAAAACGTTTCTATGTAGAAATTCGCTTTTAACTACATTGCCCGATTGAGTTTCGGATATCCAAGATTATCCATGAATAATAATTTTTATTTATAATTTCAATCAACATCTTAACAACTGCACATATACTGACATTATCTAAATGACAAATTACAATAATAAATTATTTAAATGAGTAAAATTAATTAAAAAAGTACAATTTCATGAAAATATCATATATGCATGATAAATATCAAATATGTTGAGAAAAATAATGATAATTTTTTAAACAAAATACATATGCATGTGTAGTGGCGTAGCCAGAATTTTATCTAAGGGGGTACATTAAAATAATTTTTTAACAATTACACATGATGCGATCTCATGTTTCATTGAAGAAATCTTTATACCAACATTTTTATTGATAAAAAGTAGGCAAAATTCATTTGTGTAGTCAAAACTTTCACGTTTATGACAATAATAGCAAATTTTGACGAAATACCAAATATAGCGAGAATTTTGAAAGTTTCATGACAAATATATAGCCATTTCCGTTACATATTTTAACGACGTCAGTAACACCGTTAATCTAACTAACGGAACGCTTACTTTGCTACCAACTCAACCAGACACATCATCGACAACTCAACAACACTTGCCACATGGATGCCATGTCATATTTTCTCTTCCGACTATTATTATCATAGAAAGTTAATGATTTCCTCTAATAACCCACACCCTCCTATCCATTTTAATAAACTAGACTGTATTAATGTCAAAATTAGTAGATAAAACTAACTTATATAATTGAATGAGGTTGATTATAAAATTGGGCTAATTCCTCTAATAATCCACACCCTCTCAATCTCGCAATGCGGGAGGGCATACCTAGTAGAAAAAGATAAACAAAATGTCCAGGAAATGTGCAGAGACTAAAAACTGAAAGGGGCCTTAAAGTCCACCAAAAGACAAACGCAATGTCCAGAGAATAAAAACTGAAAGTGGCCCTACAAAGTTCAGTAAACCAGCACGTGAAGTCTTGTCTCCGTAACTTAGAGTGTCAAACTTCCTTTTGGAGTTAATGGTAGTAGTTCCTAGACTGAACCATCATTTTCAGCATCATGTATCACCTCCCAGCTGAAAATACATTGGTTCCAACATCTTCAGCAACATCAGGAGCATTCATAGTTGAATCTTGCAGTGATATAGACGATGTTGAAGCAATTGTTATTAGAGATTGGGAAGATGAATTGACTCTCTGTAAATTGTTTGTCTCGCCCTAAAATCGACAGACATGTGATGGTTAGGAATGAGAAATGACAATGTCGTTTAAGTTATGAAACTGGACCAGCCATACTCCGTAATTGAGAAATGCGCCTATAAGTCTGTCCATTACGTCGTTTATGTAGATGAAGCCGCCGCAGTAACCGATTGCGTGCAGCTGGCCTATTAGCTTTCTGTTTTTGTCTTCGGCACCTGCATGTACCAAGAATAGCAGATACATATTGGGAGTGGAAATAAATAACTGAGGTGCACAATATGCTGAGTTAGTAACTACCATCATTTGTGGTCATACCTTGGCTGTTGAAACCTTTCAGAGTATGCAAGGAAAGTCTCGTTTTCTTGCATCCATGGCAAGCTCAGAAGTAAAGGTTTTCAACTGTACTTCCAATGCTTCAGTCTCTGCCTCACATCGTGGGTTGATCCATAAAAATGAAAATAAAATCATATCTTGACCAAATGATTGAGAATCATAGAGAAAGACAAATAATGTACCACGGCGGACTCGATTTAGTTCGCTTTCAAAGGCAGCGCAACCCCGGGGTTCAATATTGCATCGTTCAGGCAAAATAGCTCTTCCTTTCCCTACAAACATCAATTAATCGATCATGGGTAAAGGGCTGCCCTAGTTGCTTTATTGTATGAGAATACCGAAAAATATTGCAGGCAGATACTAATTACATGGCAATGGTGGCGCGGTGGACCGAGGTGGAGGAATTGAGGAATCCCCTTGTGAAACTCCAGTATCCATGTACTAATTATAATTGGATCAACAAAGTGGGTTTAAGCTCTACATCACAAACTATAACAATCCAAATAACCGTGACAGGAATATGAAGATGCAAAAGGTACAAATTAATGCATACATCATTAGCAAAATGACAAGTGTTTAGATAAGTGCATTACACTTTCGAGAGCTAGCTACAGGTAGCTTAATCATGCAAGATTTATGGCAGGCATTTGGTCAATTGAATCCATTTTTTGAGCTAGCTACAAGTAGCTACAAGTATATGTTCTTAGTTCCAGACCTCAAATTAGCATTCCAATTGGAGTGACGAAACAAAATGAATGGTTCTTCTTCCACTCATGGTTTCAGCCAATGTTGTCCAAATTAAGTAGAAGAGATGGAAAATGAGACTTAGATACCTAGAAGTAGAAGTTCAATTGAGTGAACTCGGGGAAACAGAGCTTTCCAAGTGATTCCCCGGCGTCGTCAGCGACACACAGATCGTTGGTCGAATGTCTTCCTGCCGTCGGTCGAAAATGAGACTTAACAAACTAGTTGTAGCTATGGTTAATTGAAAGAGACGACGACACGAAAAGGGGAACACGCAAGAGCAAGGGATCTCTCTGCTTTTTCTATTTATACAGAAACCTCAATTGTGTTCTTGAAGATACACAGTAAAACTGGAAATGGAAAACATAAATTCAAAAATAACAAAATGCTAAAGCTACACTTGGCTCTCCACTATCCGTCACAGTAACATCCACTCAACGGTAAATTCCGAGACTTCCACTATGACGTCGCTTCGCCTCTTCGTTTATGTTGAGTGGAGGGAACCCAAAAATGTTTCGTTTCTGGGTGAGGTTTCTTTCTCGAGCTTCCCTGCATTCTCTTCTTCATTTCTGCAGAGTGTCATCTTCATCAGCTTCACTTGATACTCCCCCACAAGCTGGCGAGTAAGCATTATGAACTCCCAACTTGTCCAAAAGGAACTTAAGTCTATAATGAGTAATTTCCTTCGTAAATAAATCTGCAACCTGATCATCAGTTCTCACATGAAAAAACTTGATTAACCCAGACTTCAACCTTTCCCTGGTCACATGGCAGTCAATCTCGATGTGTTTTATTCTTTCGTGGAAAACTAGGTTTTCGGCAATATGCATAGCAGATTTATTATCACAAAACAGTGGAATAGGCAAGGGTACCTTAACTCCCATCTCCGACAAGAGATTTCTCAACCATTTTACCTCACAAACCACTTGAGCTAGAGCCATGTACTCCGCTTCTGAAGCTGATCTGGAAACTGTAGTTTGTTTTTTGGTCTTCCACGTGATCAATGAAGTTCCCAAGAAGGTGCAGTATTCAGTGAGAGATCTCCTAGAATCTGGGCAGCTTGCCCAGTCTACATCACAGTAACCAGATAACTCAAGTTTGGAATCTTCCCGGAAGATCAGATCTTGACCAAGAGTGTGTTTCAAATATCTGATCACTCTATGGGCTGCTTGCAGATGTTCAACACATGGAGCTGCTTGAAATTGATCAAATTGTTGAACAACACAGGCCACTTCAGGCCTTGTAATTGTAAGATAGTACAGTATCCCTATCAATCTTCTGTAGATACCAGGATCTGGCATCAACTCCCCTTGTTCTACTGACAATTTCACGTTGCAATCAATAGGAGACAAACAGCCTTTTGCTTCCACAAAACCTGTATCATCAAGTAACTCCAAGCAATACTTCCTATGACTTACTGAGATCCCCTTATGATCTCTGATGACTTCGAGTCCCAGGAAGTAGCTCATCTGACCAAGGTCTTTCACCTTGAACTCCTTACTTAAAAACTTCTTCAATTGTTCTATGTCCCCTATAACTGCCAGCTATAAGAATGTCATCAACATAGCCTAGAACAACCACCACTCTTTCTTAAATCCATCTTACAAACATTGAATAGTCAGATGCTGTTTGTGACAAAGCACTGGTTAACTTAGCAAACCAGTGTCTGCTAGCATGTTTTAAACCATACAAGGATTTCTTTAATTTAAACACAAGACCTGAATCCTTAGAGACATCAACCCCTGGTGGTATCTCAAGATACACTTCTGCATCCAAGTCTCCACGAATAAAGGCATTGGACATATCCATCTAATGAATGTGTCAATCCTTAGAGGCAGCAACAACTAACAATGTTTTCACTGAATTAATCTTTGCTACTGTGAATAAGTGTCAAGGAAGTCTATCCCATAGATTTGAGTATATCCCTTTGGAACCAAACGTGCTTTGAACCTCTCAATGGTACCATCAGACCTGTATTTCACTTTAAACACCCATTTTGCACCTATTGTCTTCTTGGTTCTTATACAAAGCACAGATCTCCTCTTTACAAGCTTGATTCCATCGAGGATCTTTACAAGCCTCAGCATAAGAGGTAGGCTCTTGTATAGACAACACACTAAGTGAAAATGCTCTATGAGAAGCAGATAAATGATCATAGCCAACTTGATGACAAATATGGTGTTTTGAGATTGAAGCAGCCATGCTAACATGGTAGTCTTTGTGCCAAAATGGTACACTGTGAGTTCTTTTAGACTTCCTTAAGTATTCAGCCTCATCATAGTCATTATGCTCGGGGAAAACTTCAATCTCACTATCCTCCCCCTCAGAATGCAAACTGACAGGAGAGACCTCCTCGGGCACAACAGGCAGTGTAGAAGAAGTAGAAGGAGAAGTAGAAGATGCAAATGAAACATGGAAGTTTGATGGCTTGGGGAAACAGGAGAGATTGGTGCAATATGAGATAACTATGGTAGGATAGGTTCTGGTGCCATGGGGGTAGAAGAATCAGAAATGGAAGCGGTAGAAGAAGAAGAGGAGTGAAATGGTAGAATTGATTCATAGAAAGGGAAACAAAGAAAGAGTTTGAATTGAGATCAAACAGCTTGAAGCCTTTTATCCCTGCAGGAAAACAAGAAATATACACTGTCTAGCCCTAGAATCAAACTTGGTTTTGTCCCTATGCAAAGTAGAAGCATAGAAAAGAGAGCCAAAAACCTTTAGGCCATTCAGATTAGGAGCTTTGCAATAGAGAAGCTCATAGGGAGACTTGTTGTCAAGAGCTGAAGTGGGGAGTCTGTTAATTAAATAAACAACATGTAAAACACAATCACTTGAGAACTTGAGAGGAATGCCAGATTGAAATCGAAGTGATCTTGCCACATTCAAGGTGTGTTGATGCTTTCTTTCAACCCTGGCATTCTGTTCTGGAGTTTCCACACATGATTGTTGATGTTCAATCCCATGAGCACTATAAAACTCAGCCATGTGAAATTCAGAACCTTGGTCACTTATGATAATTTTAACTGACTTGGAAAACTGTCTTTCAACCATAGTGCAAAAAGATTGCAACAAAATACCAGTTCAGACTTGAACTTCATTAGGAAAACCCAAACAGCTCTTATAAAGTCATCAACTATGGTTAAAAAATAGGAAAAACCTTCATGGGACTTAATAGCCAATGGCCCCCAAATGTCAACATGGATCAAACCAAAAGCATCATGTGCTCTACTAGTACTAATAGGGAAAGAAAGCCTCTTATGTTTGGCAAAATGAAAAATCCGACAATGAGAAACTACATCTCTATTACAAGGTAATGTTTGTTTCTCCTTGTCTTTGCTTGGGTGCCCTAGTCTCCAGTGCCAGAGGTGGATATTTTGTGGTTGGAAATTGTAGGTAAAGGCTGCTTGTGGGGTAGACATAAGTGGTGCATTGGTCTTGGTGTGTAATTGGTATAATCCTCTATTTTGTCTTTCCAAACCAGTCCTTTTCTGGGTCATCAGATCCTGAATTTGACAAGAATCAGATTCAAAATGTAAGGATATAGGATGATCATTTTTCAATCTACTAACTGAGATAAGGTTGAAAGTGAAACTTGGCATAAGGAGAACATTGTCTAAGGCTAGATATGGTGAGATATGAACTTTTCCTACATAACTAACCACAACCTTAGTCCCATTAGGTAGATAGACAAACTGATCCTTAACAAGCAAAGCTTCCTAAATAAGGCAATGTTTCAAGCTATATGGTCAGAGGCCCAGTGTCCAAAATCCAGGTATGAGCAAGGTGTTTTGCCTTATGTTGCCTAAAAGATGATAAGATGAACTTACCAGCATGATTTGGGAACTGAGAATTGCCGTGAGCAATAGAGAATGCGAGATGGTTGACTAAAGGAGATGCAGGTGGTGAGGGACTAGGAGAAGGAACAGACTGCAACAAGTATCTCAGTTTGTTGAGTTCTTCAGATGAGAAATGCAAGTTGTCCTTTGAAGAAACACTCCTGGATTCTGAACTGTGCTTAGAATCTGAACTAACTGAATCACTCTCATTAGAATTATCCCCCCTGAGAGACTGCAGCAGCAACTCCCCCAACCATTATAAGCTTCTTGTTCTTAAGCTTCCAACATTCTTCCTTGATATGACCATCTTTCTTGCAATATCGATATAACTTCTTTCCATCTTGAACATCTCATAGAACAGCAAGAGCCACTGATTGCACACCCCTTGTAGTTCTTTTATCTTCCTTCAACTTCAACTTATGCTGTAAAACATCATTAATTGCCATCTCCACAGTAGGCAGTGGCTTCATCATCAAAATTTGGGTATGCACAACATCAAATTCTGGTCTAAGACCCTTTAGAAACCTAATGAGATAGTCGATCTCTTGTTTATGCTTGAATGACTCTATTGCAGCACAAGGTTGGGTTCTCTGTGGAGCACAATTGCAATCTACAATTGGGTTAAATTGAAAATGTTCTTCACACAACCCTTCAAAGCAGTATAGTACTGAGTAACATTAATGATCTGGTATCCCATATTAGCCAATTTGATGGCATTTGCAAACCCAAATCGAGATCTGAGCTCTTCCCATAAATTACGAGCAACATCATGTTGCATAACACTTCTTCTTATTTCCTTATCCACATAATTAAAAATCCAACATAGTTCTAGAGTATTACAAGCATCCCATGTACTATAATTAGGGTTTCTTATGCCTGAAAAGAAATGGAACCATTGATGAAATCAATTTTGTGTTTTGTTTTGAGAGCCATCCTCATGGCTCGTTGCCACATTTGGTAGTTAGAACCATCAAGAAATTCTGAAACAATTGCTTGCGAAATGTTCTCATTTGGGTTGATATAGAATGGATTACCGAATTGGGGATCTGGGCGATCGTTGTTGTGGTTGTTGCCACCTGTAGTCTCAGAAGACATTCCAGAGTAGGTGCCGAAAGGAATGGCTCCAAGAGTGTTGTGAGGTGTCGTCGCCATGGAATGTTACTGGATCAGCAACCGCTCTAATACCATAACAAACTAGCTGTATCTAGGGTTAATTGAAAGAGATGACGACATGAAATGGGAAACGCGCAAGAGCAAGGGATCTCTCTGCGTTTTCTATTTATACAAAAATCTCAATTGTGTTCTTGAAGATACAAAGTAAAACTGGAAATGGAAAACAGAAATTCAAAAATAACAAAATGGTAAAGCTACACATGGCTCTCCACTATTTGTCACAGTAACATCCACTCAACGGTAAATTCCAAGACTTCCACTACGACGTCTCTTCGCCTCTTCGCCTCTTCGTTTATGTTGAGTGGAGGAAACCCAGAAACGTTTCGTTTCTGGGTAAGGTTTATTTCTAGAGCTCCCCTGCATTCTCTTCTTCATTTATGCAGAGTCTCATATTCATCAGCTTCACTTTATAAGACTTAGATACCTGGACGTAGAAGTTCAATTGAGGAAACTCGGGGAAATAGAGCTTTCCAAGTGATTCTCCACCGTCGGCAGCGGCTCATAGATCGTTGGTCGAATGTCTTCCCGCCATTGTCCGATGCAGGAGTTTCTCCAAAATTGGCGGAAGCAACACCCTAAGAGCTTTCCCCAATTGAATTACAAAATGAGACCTGATCTTCTTTTGCAGGAAAAACTAAGTGGACTTTATCTATGGGTCTAATGAAAGGCCGGAATTTGATGGTTGTAACCGCCAAGGAGGAGCTGCATTTGTGGGTGGGAAAGCAAAAAAAAAAGAGACTTTATTGACCAAACTACCCCTGACTGACAAAAATTAAGGGGAGAGCTCCATTTTTTGAATGGTGAAAAGGCTCCAAAACTCCATCATCATTAAGTAGTCTATTGATTGATTTGTTTTGGAATGAATTTGCTATACTAACTCATCAGTTTTTTGGTGGGTAGGGATAAGAGTTAACCCTTAATCACTGGTACTCGATTATTCCCGATCCGATTAATACATGAAATTCTCGCATTTATTGGATATGGGTAAAACTCACAAAAAATTTTGATGAGGTCAATAAAGGGTATTGATTTTATACTCTCCCACACAATACCCTTATTCATACTAGCCCCACCAAGATTTTTTTATAGAAAAATAATACTTCTTCATATATAATTGATATAGAGATTAATGCAATATGTCAATGAAAGAAGGGTAATTCAAATAGAAAAAGAGAGTTGAAATGCGATTGAATGGTCACCCAAATCAAACATTAATTTCTCCATCCAATTTTCCTTCACTACTTCATTTCTTTCTTCTTTTTATCCATGGTTCAGGAAAACGTACCGGAAGTCATATGGAACTCGTTTGTGATAGCATATTTTGTGGTACGACCATGGTTCAACCTTTGTGTACTAGTAAAATACCATTTTTGTAATAAAAAATTATTTTTGTGTTAAAAAACCATACCTGTAGTTTCAAGATATCATTTCGAAGTAATATCGAAATCCCAACCACAAAGACCATAATTGAACCCACATATTTCCTTCACTGGAAAGGAATTATACAATAACAAAGCTCCCTTTGAATTAGCAAATTTTACATTAACACAAAATGGAATATCAATCAAAATGATACCCCACTTCTTCCTGTTCTCAATTGGTAGTTAAACTTAAAACCCATCAAAATCAAGTAATCAAAACTCAAAATCACTAAACGAGATTTCTCATGAACTTTGGAGACAAACTCAAAATCCATAGGCGTATAGGCGATAACACTAACCTTCTTGAAGTATTAGTTATTAGTGAAGGGAGCTGAATTGGAGAAGACGATTATGATGTTGTTGAATGAATTTCTGATGCCCTTGGTGATGATGATTCCGATGTCGTTGAGAAGGGCTGAGCTGAACCAGAGAAGACGTAGCCATGAAGGAAGGTCCAGACTCGAGACAGGAGAGGCATACTTGGTGGCTCCGGCGAACAAAGACGACGAAGTGCGGTTTCGTCGTGGAAGGGAGACTCAGTGGTGTTTTTCGTGCTCGTCCTGTTCGTGGTCGCCAGAGGCCATGCTGGCTAGCTGGAGTAGACGAACGACGGTCGAGCCAGGGGAGAGTCGACAACATTCTTGGGAAGTCGAGCTCGTCGTCTCGCTGCAGTTACCGGTCGCCAGAATCCAGATGTAGTGGTGAGTTGGAGAAGAGGAGCAGCGTCGGGTTGAGAACTGGAGAGGAGAAGAAAAGTTCTTCGATTCGTGAATCGTGTTAGAGATTATGGTTGGCTTGGCTATTTATTTTGGAGGAGAGTTTTTTAAATTTTCGTTAAGTAAACGACGACGTTTCCTTTGAAAATAGACTACCCCCGGTTAGAACAAAACCGGGCGGCATTCCACTTTGTGTCGTTTGAACCATCCATACTGGTTGGTATGGTATTTCTGGCAACAAATGCATACCGTTTCGTTTCTGGTCCGGTTCTCGGTTTCCTAAAGAATGATTTTATCAAAATTATGTTAGTTATTTATTTATTAAAAAATGTGTCAGAGTCGTAGATGAATGATTTGAATACTATTATACTTTTATTGTGAATTAATGGATGTTTTAAGACTGACTACGTTGAATTTGTACTAAAATGAGTGTAATCTTTGTTAATTTAATGCTTTATTAGGTCATTTAAATCATGTTAATTTTATTTTGATAATGTTGGATATAGGGGGGGGGGGGGGTTTACTACCCACGTGTACCCAAAAACTCCGGCAATGGAAATGGGGAATTAGAGATGCAAACCCTCCCCCACATGTGTATATGTTATAGTATTTGAAAATGTGGAGGGAGATGGTTTAGGGGAAACCCGCTCTAAACACACCTCATGGCCATCTCTACTTGTGGTGAAGACTTACAAACACTAAGCTTACAAAGAGGAGTACGAATAGAAGGTGGTTGGGCCGAGTCCTTTAACGAATAAGTGGTAGCTTACAGAGAGGAGTATGAATAGAAGGTGGTTGATGCCGAGTCCTTTAACTAATTAGTGGAAGCTTATAGAGAGGAGTATGAATAGAAGTTGGCTGGTGCCGAGTCCTGTAACGAATAAGTTTTCCAATTGATTTTGGGCGTGAATTTGAATGCTTGCATATTTTCATTGTCGACCAATTTGCATACAAAACAATAGTAAATTACGACATGCTTTATGTGCTCATGGAAAATAGGAACGTTGTAGATGTGGATAGCCATCAAGTTGTCACAAGCACATCCGTGTGGGACCTTTTCGGGATGGCTCGGAATCGGCTAGGATAGTTTGTATCCAAATGATCTCACTGGCTATCATTGCAATGACACGATCTTGGACTTTAGTGGATTTCGAGCGACAAACACTTTGTTACTCATGATTAACTAGTTCTTTTAGTGCAAAATTTTCAAAATTTGAGTGAAAACAAAGGTGGTCTGAGTTATATCAAGTGATACCAGGGTGGTAACGAGTAATATGGGTGATGCAAAAAAAAAAAAATTCTCGAAATATATTGAAAATAAATATAATTTTGTTGACCACAACGAGTTTTTTCCATCCGTGCAAATTCTTTCAAAATCCAAGTTAAAACAACAAAGACGTAAGCTAATTATAAGAAAGAAAAATAAAAAATATTTTAATCTTAGCTCTTAGATATGCCTCACTCAAACCCAAATGACTATACTGGTTACGCATATGTGCAAAAAACAAGGGTTATGCATCATATCCTAGTGGAAAAGAACCTAGTCAATATTGATATGAATACATGTATAATATTCTACTAGTGAGGGACCCGGCCAATTGGCCGGATTTAGTTTGCAATCACGTAAATATCAGTAGCAATTTGTATCCAATTTACGTATCTTATACTCATATTTTCAAATTCTCTAAACATTATTATTAAAATATTTCAACAATTCAATGAGGATCAACATCATGCTCTTTTCTAGCATTTTTTTTATCACTAATCGACTAAAATTCTTTTACGAAAATGAAAGAACAAAGCCAATGCAAGGAATCTCAAATCAAAATGACCTTCTAATTACTCCTTGATGTTAGAGATTACAACACGTTTCTTTTTACTAGTTTTCATTTCCTCCTACATGAGCAACAACCTCGAAGTGACCAGTAATAATGTGTTCATCTCCATTAGTGACACATTTTTATCTCTTCTATAAATTGACTCTTCCTTCTTTTTCTTGCATTTCAGTTGGGGCTGGCTATTTGGTCCGGGATCAGATGTAAAACCAGAAACCGGACGTTTAAGACCAGGATCGGATGTAAAACAATTCAATCCCGTCTTTGGTCCTAGAATTAGTAAAAAAAACTCACACCAATCTAGTCCGAGTTAAAACCGTATCAAAATCGGAAGACCGAATAACTTAAAAATAGACCCAAAGGCAAAGCTCACCAGGGCACAGGCCAGCTCGCCGCCACTCGGCCCACTCCCCCCAGCGGGCCAGGCGAGGCCACTTTTTGTAGGATTGCAATTTGTAGTGGAGCTCCCTCTCCATTCCATCGTGAGTTTCGCGACGCCTCCACCAAATCCAATCCACTTCCCTCCGAATCGCAGTCGCGCCGAGCTCCCTAACCCTAAAATTGAACGGTGGCGGTGACCCACCTCCTTTTCGAGACTTTGTGACGCGGCCCAACATCTCGTCATCGGTCTCCATCCCCTCCGTCGCAGTCGCAGGTCGCTCCTACCTCCGCTTCGCTCCGCGATGCGACCCAGCCAACATCTCGTTGCCCTCCGCTCCGTCCCAGCCCCCAGGTCAATCCCACCTCATATCCCTACCTGTTACACAAAGTATTATTATTCGATAGTTAATTGGGAGTTAGATCGGAACTAATCCCTATCTCTTCTCCATCTTTCATTTTTGATTGAGCTCATGTAGTGTTATGGTTCGGATTGGCTTTTGAGCTTTTTCTGAGGCAGGTGTTATAGCCAATGAGCTTGTGGACATCAGATGAAAAGCAAGAAGAGTGGGCTAAAGTTTAAACTTAACATTGAGAAGGCGTATGATAATGTGAACTGGGAATGTCTTTTCAAAACACTTACAAGAATGGACTTTCCTTCTAGGTGGGTGAATTTGATATGTAGAGCTATTTGCTCTCCCATTATTTCTATTCTTGTTAATGGTGAGGCGAATGGCTTTTTCCCGGCCAGCAAAGGACTTCGACAAGGAGACCCTATCTCATCGGGTCTATTTGTGATGATCATTGATATCCTTTCTTTTATGTTGTCCAAGCTTAAGGCTGCTGGAATGATTGATGGCTTTTGTATGGATGAAGTGCAACAAAATGGCGAGCTTACTCATCTCTTATTTGCAAACGACACACTCATATTCTGTGATGTCTCACATGAACAGGTGATCAACATTCTTTCCACTCTTGTATGTTTCCAAGCAGTTACTGGTCTCAAGGTCAATATGGATAAATCCATTATGTATATTGTGGGAGACGTACCTGAATCAGGTTTTTATGCATCTATATTTGGATGCAAATGGAGCAAAAACCCACCAAAATACCATGGATTTCTGCACGGGGTCAAACCGAACTCTTCCTCACTTTGGGATCCTATTGTCTTGAATTACCAGAAAAGATTGGATGGATGGAAGTGCAACTATCTTTCAACTTGAGGTTGTCTTACTCTTAATTGCTCTGTCGTCAATAGTTTAATGGTTTATTTATTCTCCCTATTCAAAGCTCCAAAGACTGTTGTAGACGACTTGGAAAGAATTCAAAGAAGGTTCCTTTGGAGTGTACCGGGGACAAACAAAAACAACCTCTTGTGAGATGGGAGACCTGCAAAGCTTCAAAAGCCAATGGAGGTTTGGGTATTGTGACATGTCTACCTTTAACAGTTCCATGCTCACCAAGTGGCTTTGGAAGTACGCTATGGAGAAAGATAGATGGTGGCGAAGGCTTATTGAGATTAAATATCCAAACAACCGCTCTTCCTGTCAGACTGGCAAGATCAGATCTGGGTACTCAAGCTCGGTTTGGGCTAATATTTCTAAAGAGTACGATTTATTATGGAAAATGTTTCAAATCGAAATAGGAGGAGGAGTCCATGCAGAATCTGTTGGATCTCAGATTTAGAGAACATTTTCTCTGTTAGCTCCATACACAGGTACATGTGAAGCAGAAATATCTATGAATTCCAGACTTTGCAGCTAAAGCTAATTGGAAGACAATCATACCAATCAAAATTTGCTTCTTTATTTGGACAATTTGGCATAAGAAGATCCTCACTATAGATGTTCTCAAAAAGAGGGGGTTCTCACTTGCTAATCGTTGCTAGCTGTGTTGCAAAAATGAGGAAGTTGTTGATCATCTCTTCTCGAGTTATGATTATGTCCGTTCTGTGTGAGAGCTTATTCGTCGTGGACATAGCAACATCAGAACTCCCTCGGGCATAGTCTCAAATATTATTGAAGGATCCACTATGTGCACTCCATATAGCATTGAAGGATGGTCCAAGTTCTACATCTTCCATGCAGTGTTTTGGCAGATTTGGCTAACACGTAATAAATATATATTTCAAGACGTGAAGGTTCCTGCTATTGTCATCGCCCGCAACGCTACTAAAATTACTATTTCTTGGGCTGCTGCACATGGAAAGATCAACAAAGAGCAGGGATCAGTTAGGTTGCAAGTTTCCTCTGTAGTATTTGACCATGCGACATCCTGTTTCTGCGTTTGAATGAATTAATTTCTTTTTTCTTTGATGTCCTCTTGAATGGTCTTTGATTGACTCTTTGCCTCCATGCGTAGATCGGTGGATGGCAGTTTATTCTATTTGCTGCTTCTTGGAGCGGGGGTGGTCTGGTCTTAGGTAACTAGCTCGTGGAGCGGGAGCGGGTGCGAGAGCAGGAGCGTGAGAGCGTCTAATTTTCAAGAATATGATATCAAGAGCGTTAATCAAAAAAGTCATTATTATATTATTTTTATTTAATTTTTTATGTAGAAAATATAACATGCAAAGAAATAAATTAAACAAGAAAAGATGAGAATTGCATTAGGACATATGGCTTAATATAAGTCCAACAAGAACAAAAAATACGAGAGTCGATGTATATTAGCTCCATAGTTGCATACATTCTTATTTAAATAATTAAAATTTAATAAATGAAGGATTTACTGGAATATAACAACATTTTATTAATTCATAGGGCATGTTTGTAAATTTTCACACATGCAAACCTTGTTTGACAAATGGTCCCTGCTTTCTCCCCGCTCCTCTTCCCCTTAAGATTTCGTTCTAGCTATTACGAATTACGATCTCTGTTTTCTTCTGAATTGATTCTTTGATTTGTTTCTTCTATCAATTTCAAAGTAACTGTTTGCGCCTTTAAAGCCGAAAGATCTTCATTTAACACTCCCTAGCCATGGATGCTATAATCGGCGGCGAATTACGGCATGCCGGAGTGAACAGAGCATGGAAGCTACCATGGACATACGGTTTTGACGATGACTCATGACGACAGAGCAAATGAGAAACTTCAAAGTAATAATTGACTTGTGCCACTATAATTGGCCACTCACCAAGCAATACAATAAGGTAACAGAAAACTCCAGATCCCTCCGCCTCTCCAAGGTCCAAGCAATACTCAAGAAGGAAACAAATTTGAGAGTGGAATTCTGCTTGTAATAAACCGCGCTCCCTCATTCATCAATTCGCGCTCCATGTTTTATCAGTTCGCGAATTATTTGCGGCTTCACCCAAAATCACGCTTTCACGCTTGGAAGCGGGAGCGTGGGAGCTAAATGGACGAATTAGGTTACATAAGTCTAGTCCACCTTGCTCTCTCTTTTTGTCTCCCTTTCTTTCGAGCTCTTTATTGCTTGTTGTTCTTGACTGTTGTTTTTTTTGGGCTAATACCACTACAACACCCGAACTATGACAAAAATGCCACTTGTATCCTATTCTTTCCAATATTCCAATTGTGTCCTATCTATGATACTCTGGTGTCATTTGTATCCTGACAATTTCGTTGACCGTTAGAGATAACGGTTGACCAGACGGAAGTCAAATTGTTGTTGACTTTTGCTGACGTGGCAAAAATGTGATGGCCACATAGATGCCGCATCATTGACACATCACATTTTAATTCAAAATTAATTAATATGTACAAAAAAATCCCAAAATCAAATTCTTTTGCCGAAAAAGAAACTTAAATCCTTCCTTGACTTTTGCTTTTTTGGCAATGGTCGTCGCTCCTTCTTCTTCTCCGGCGGAGCTGCTTCATCTTCTTCTTCCTCCAAGCAAGCTCCATTTTCCGGCAGATCTTGGTTCACAATAGAGAGGTCGTCGATTTTCTGTTCCTCGCCAGCACGACGAATCGGGGAGAACGAGGGAAGGAAGCTGTTGCGACGGGCGAGGGATCCGGCCCCTCTCCCCTCACCCGACCTGCTCTTCTCTAGCCCTTATCGCGCCGCCATTGCTCGCGAAGCCCAGATAACCTCCCAGTATTCGCCTCTCTATCTCTCAAAGATTTCCCCAACCCAGAAAACCATCAATTCCGACGAGCTCACCCTCTTCAATGGCGACGAGCTCACCCTTGATTCTCAGCAGAACAAACTTCAAGCTAGCAACCTGTGGTTTCTGGGTTTTATCGACGGGCAGGGAAGGGCATTTTTTCTCGTCCCCAGGACACCGCTCCACTGACATCAGATCTAGCGATGGTCGCGCCGTCGCCTACAACTTAACCCCTAAATTGAAACCAAATTGAAACCATTGTTGCCACCATCAGATTCTTCATCTGCGGTGGAATTAGGTTTACGGTGGGTATGTAAAGCGCTCTCTTATTCCGGCCAATGCAATGGAGGATCTGGGCTCCTCGTTGGAAGGACTCGACAATCCCTCGACTCCTTGCTGCCGCGAATCACTATCGCCGCCCCCTGCTCCTCTCTCAAATCTTTCTTCCGCTCCAACTCTTCAAGTGTCTCACCAATCCTTTTTCCTCCCCTTCCCACTCTCATATGCAAGCTCTACAGTTTCAATGCCTTCACCGCCTCTTTCTTTCCTCTGCCGCCTTCAGATCTGAATCCAACCCGGCAACCCCAATCTCAGATTGGGTAGCCAAGTTGTAAGAAGCTAACCGCCGCCGGATTTTTGGGGACAGTTTGGAGAAGGCAAACGTTGGATTAGGTTGAACGTCGATTTTTTGATACAAGTGGAAGAGGAAAAGAATAGGGGGACGAAGTGATAGATGAGATTAATCTCCATTCTTGGTTTTTTGGTACTGGTGTAAGAGGAAAAGAACGGATGGGGAAAGGAGTGACCGACAACGAGCTCTAGTGAAGTCGGCGACAATGAGGAAGAAAGTGATCGTGGCCGGAATTCAATTTGGGGGAGGAGATGTCACGTCGGAGATGGGTTCGTGGGTGAGGCCTGAGGGGTTATTTTCTTTAGTTATTTTTTCTGAAAAACTAACGGTCAGATGCCACATCAGCGCTGAAGATGCCACATCAGCGCTGACTAGATTTTCTGTTAAAAACTAATGGTCAACAATAGTCAACACTAACGGAATCATAGTTCAGGACACGGATGGAATATTGGAAACAATAGGACACAAGTTGCATTTTCGTGATAGTTCGGGTGTTGTAGTGGTATTAGCCCTTTTTTTTTACATTCATTTTTCTTCATCTTTTGGCAAGTTCAGCTTGTTGAACATCTGCCTCTTGTACATTTTTCTCTTCTTTTTATTAATGCAATCACCATTATAAAAAAAAACCCTCAATTATGAAAATAAATCAAAATTCATTTTTTTATCATTTAAGTTCATCAAAGCATTGACATTTTGTTTAAATTTGAAAATTGATCATGCTAGTTATACCGGAGACCTTCTATCCTGTTTTATAACCGAAATTGGTTGAAATTGGTTTTACCAACTAACATGGCACCTACATGACATGGCGTACCGCTCATCTAGCAGGCAGAAAACTAGTTACTACATTAGTTAGGTTTGGCAATGAGCCCGCGGACTTTGGATATCCGTCGGGGCCCGCCCTCAACTAATGGGCTTAAACCCGCGAGGCCGGTGTGATTCGCGGTTGCGGGTATACCCGCGACCCGTCGTGCGCGGTGATGGGCTTGGCACGGATTCTGGGATCCCCATCCCGTATCTGCCCCGATAGCAAACGACGTTGTTTGCTACGCATATAAAAGGCTACATTTTTTGGGTTAGGGTTTGTGGTGAGACCATTTTTCATCAAATGCCACCCTTGTTCCCCCGATTTGCTCTCAATCCATTCGAGGCGAATCGCCGATTTCCTCCCCAAATCCCTTCGATTCCGGAGATTTCTCCTTCTTTATCGACTATTCTCCCTCGCAAATCGATGATATCATCATCAATAACACTACATCTTACCGTAAATCAACCCTCCAAACTCCGAAAATGTCTCAATTGACAAAAATCTTCTCCGAATCGTGCATGCAAAGGATTTCTTTCCCAAATCGAGATAAGTATTCAGTTCTTTATTAACTTAATCCAATTTTGCTTATAGACGTATAAATAGGTGACTAAATTCGTCATTTTGTTCATATGCAGTTCATCGAACCCTAAATCTAGAAACCCTAGCCTTCCAGATTTCGGAACCCCACTTTTCTGCGTTCTTAGTAAGTTTGTTAGACATGAGTTAGTTTCATTAATTGATGTTGGTGCATGCTTAGTTCGACAGAATCAATAAATCCCTAATCATCCAAATTTTATCTTTTTTTTTCTAGCTTGCTATTCGGGAGTCTCATCTCGCAACTGGTGCTTCAACTGCTTTTTGCAGAGGTAAATCGCCAATCCTTGTTTGATGGTTCTTGGTTGTTGATGTTTGTTCTTGGTGTGTAATATTATTACCTTAGTTTAGTAATTCTAGACTAATCACCTTTTAAGTAACCATCGTATATTACTGATCAATTTGATTCTGCTCCATTAAAACTAAGAACTCAATGTGTTTGCTAAATGTTAATGGTTAGTGTGATTCTGCTCTTGGAAAATGCCATTGTTGTAAGTAGTTTATGTAATGGTTAAAGGTAATGGTCAATGTGATTCTACTGTAGCTAAGTTCGACATGCCTTAGTGTTAATGATGACTTTCTGCTAATTCATAAAACTGTATAAACTATATATTATCTAATGAACCCAAATCTAAACTCTAGATCATCTAATGAACCCAAATCTCAACTAATGATCACTTTGTTGTAAGTTAGTAGGTAGTCTATGTAATGGTTTAACCATTATCTTGTGTAATGTTGATCGAATCCAGTTTGTGAGAGGATTCAATCATCATTACAGAATAGACTTGGTTAATCCTAAAACTGTATAAACTCTAAATAATATAATGCACCCAAATCCCAACTAACACCTGGTTATTCTTCTTGAATCGAATTGTTTAACCATGATCTTCTGTAATGCTGATCAAATCCAGATTGTGAGAGGATCCAATCAACATTACAGAATAGACTTGGTTAATCATTCTCCTTTTTATCTAATCTCTAATGATCCAATCATTGATTTCTGATTTGTTAGAACAACACTGGAATTCTTTTTGAAACGTTTCTATTATTTCTGTTTCTTACTCAGATGGAACCTGAACAAGTTGAGAATGCACCAATTCAGAATAACAATGGAGACCAACCTGGTAATCCTGAAAACCTTCCTGAAGATGATATTCCCCAACCTCCCTTAAGTGCTAGTAGATGCTTAAAATCTGATGTGAGGCCTCATTCCACCAGACTGATAGATAATGGGGTTCTAAAAGCAAAATGCAACTATTGTAAAAAGGTGTTGGCTGGAAAGTCTAGTAATGGCACTTCCCATCTCAGGACTCATAGGAAACGTTGTGCTCATAAAAAAATACACGACGATAGTCAAAAAGTCCTTGGGGCTAACTTCAGTGCCAAGGGAACAACTTATATGACTACTAATCAGTTCAGTAGTGAGGTGTCTAGAAAGGAGCTCTGCATCATGTTCTTGGTGCATGAGTACCCCCTTTCTATTGTTGACCACCTATACTTCAAAAGATTTTGCTGCACATTGAACCCTCTATTCAAAGTTCCTAGCCGAAATACCATAAAGAAGGACATAGTTTTCATTTATGGTATGGAGGTCTAAGATTCAAAAGGCCATTGGACAAAACAAAGGTAGGATAGATGTCACCACTGACTTGTGGACTGCCACAAACCAATAAAGCACATAAATGGTTGTGACTGCCCATTATATAGACAACTCTTGGAAGCTGCGAAACCATCTCATTATGTTTGCTTATCTCCCTGCCCCACACACTAGTGAGAGGTTGGCTGCAAAGCTAGCTCAATGCCTCTGAGCATGGAACAGTGATAGTACATTGTCAACAATTACTCTCGACAATTGTACTACCAATGATTCCATGATAAATCTAGTTAAACAACGGCTAGTGTTATCTAATCTAATTAGGGATGAGACACTTCTTCATATGAGGTGCTCTGCTCACATTCTTAATTTGATTGTGAGGGATGGTCTTGATGTATTGAAAGAGGGTATTGATATAATCATGGAGAATGTGGTCTTTTGGACATGCACACCTAGGAGAGTGGAGTTTTTCCATGCAACTGCCCAACAACTTAAATTGGTTGTTTCTAAGAAGTTGGTCTTAGATTGTCCCACTCGTTGGAATTCCACCTACGCAATGCTTTCTGGTGCTATCCCGTATAAGGAAGTGTTCTCTATATTGAAAATAAGGGAACCTCAATACAACTCTCTGCCTACCAACGAGCAGTGGGATTTTGCTGCTGTTTTGGTTGACAAACTTGATGTTTTCAAGGACATCACTTTAGTTTTTTCTGGTTCAAACTACCCAACAGAGAATCAATTTTTTGCTAAAGTTTGTCATTTGAGGTTACAGTTGGTGGAATGGTTAAGTGATCCTAATCCGATGATTGTTTCTATGGCTGAGAACATGTGGCTAAAGTTTTTGAAGTATTGGGACGACATTCATTTACTGTTGCTGTTGTATTGGATCCCCGATATAAATTGGATCTGGTTGATTACTATGCTGGAAAATTCGGTATCACTAATACTGATTAGTGAGTGAAAGGGTCAGAACAGTTGTTGCTGACTTGGTTGTTGAGTATCAAAGAAAATCCACCAAAATCATTGTTGTGTCGTCTTCTGCTCATCCTTCTTCTTCGGCTACAGATCTGGATTTTGATCTGTATGTTAGCCAAAGAAAGAAAACTAGAATATCTTTAGTAACCACCGAGTTAGATCACTATCTAACTGAGGATGTTCATCCTAGAACATTGAATTTTGATGCGATGGTTGGTGGAAGTTCAACGGTGCCAAGTATCCCATTTTGCAAGACATTGCAAGGAACTTACTTGTTGTACCTGTTACAAGTGTTGCATCTGAATCTGCCTTTAGTTTCGGTGGGAGGCTTCTTGATCTCCATTAGAGCAGACTGGATCCTTCAACAATAGAAGCTATGATGATATTAAGGACCTAGATTCAGGATGATAGCAAATGTATTCTTTTTTTTATTTCAGGTCTAAATTGAGTGAATTTTGATTACTTTGCTATGGTTTCAAACTGATTACTTAAGTCTTGCTGTTTATCGTAGTTTCTGCCTCTCAATTGAAAGCGATGGAGGGAGTTTTTTCAGCTATGGCAATGGATGATACCACGGTGGAAGAGAGCACATGTAACTGATTTAGTTGTAGTTGTACTTCTGTAACTTGTTTATTCACTTCGAATTGAATTTTTACGTCTCAGACTGTGATGAATCAGATGAAGCTGGAACGCAAAAGGAGCTGGAAGGAGATGAAGACGACGTAGCTGCAGTCGTCAACCTGCTGGACTAGCTGTGGGTGTGTGCTCTGTTACATTTTTTACTATTGCAGCCTTGCTTCTAATAAAAGTTGTTCGATAGTAATTTGCAAGTTGTAAATGTTGTTGGATTTCAGGAACTTTATTCTCATTGAAAGAAGATGCAATGATGGGAAAGGGCGACTTAGGGGTGAAGATCAAGACTGATTGTTGCTCTTCAGAATGGCTTCTGTTATAGTTTTTTGTGTTTCAATCTATCAGACTCGCAGTGCCATTTCAGAAGTTTGTTAGCTGAGATTTTTTTACACTCTGTTGGTTTCAATTCTGGGTTTGAGTGATTCTTATTTCTGGATTTATTTATGGTCGGATTGTTGATTTTGAGACAAGTTTTTGGGTTTGCAGTTCATGGTTTCTTATTGAATGTTATAATAACTTGGTTTTCAGTAATTCAGATCATGCTTAGTGTTTTTTAGGAACTTGGTTGGCTTTTGTTTCTAGACAGGCCACGGGTAATCAATGACCCGCGGGTTCACCGATACCCGTTTGGTCTTGGACTTGGTTCAAATTTTTTGCTCATAAAGGTTAATGGGGGCGGATACGGGTTTTACCCGCGGGCATACAGAACGGACAATGAATATGGGGTACCCGGCTACCCGCCCCAACCCATTGCCAAGCATTAGTTTAGTTTAGTTTAGTTTAGTTAGTTTAGGTAAAAAAATTCCTCTATTTTCGAAAAATTCGAAGCTGAGAAACCGAAGACGAAGAGTGAAGCAAAAGAGGAAGAATACAATCACCTGAAATCCTGCCTTACTTTCTCGCTTCCAACACTGCGCCCACCGTCAAAATTCATCCCTGATCTTGCCTTCCCGTATCTTTTCATCGCCGGCCGCGGCAAACGATGGAGATTGCATCCTTCTCCGGAATCCCTAGAGCCCATCTCCGCTCCTCGTTTCCGTCATCAGGTGGGTCCGCCTCTACACTTCTTTCCCATCTTACAAACGCTCTGAATTGTCGATCTTCTCTTTTTCTGAATCGCTTGATTTACTGTTAAACGTGATTCCACCGAAATTTCCATGCTTTGTGGTTTCTGAATTTAATGATCACATTTTCCTGATTACCGAGCTCCATCTCCCCTGCCTGCACTGAACAGAGACCTTACTGCCTAGAAAGATCGAGCTCCATGATTTTCGTGATCAATGTTCAGTGCCCCTTCAGTTGAAAACGATAGCTCCGCCCCTTTCATGTCGAATTGGGTCACTTCCTCAGAAGCGGAGCTCATTGAAGGTCCTTACTTTTGTATCTTAAACTTCTGCATGCTATTTTTTTTTTACTTGTCACTTGTTTGTTTTGAGCCTTATTATGAATTCGAAAGTCACCAAATTGTCATGGCTGTTCCTGTTTTGGTGTCAGTTTCAGGTGTTTTGTAGCCAAATGAGGGAAATTCCTATTATCGAGTCGAGGTATGTGTGGTTTTTTACATGTAACCGTATCAGAATGGTCATGAATTTTCATTTTCATCTGCATCAACTGGTTAGATTTAAACAAAGAAATCAGCCACTGGGGTTGCAATGGTTCTTTTTATAATGCATAGCATTTAGGGCATTGTAGAGCTGTCGAGCCTCTCTCATACTGGAGGTTAGCACAAAGGGCAAGGGCCGAGGATTTTCCTCAAAATTATTCACACACGCATAACCACACCGAACAATTAGACTCTCCTAGTTTAGGAGTCCACCAACTGATCTGCGACATTGGATTGGAGGTGTTCCCTCTGACCTCTAATCCTCGTCTGATATCAGTGGTTATGTGCTATTTCACTTTTCTCATCCAAGTCTGTAGTTGAGAATTGGGAATTTCGGACACTTTTATTAGCAACACTCAAGGTATCTACTACACTCAACGTGGCCAACATTCAATGGTGGGATAAGCACAAGTGAATTGCTCGTATCTGACCTAGTATATGCAAGTACTGAAGCTTATTGTTGCTTCCATTTGATTGGCAGCTCAATGGATGAGATATATAATGCTTTGGCTGAAAGGCTTGTTCCTAATGCAGCTGTAGCCGCAAATCCTAATTCCAAGTGAGTTTATGTTACTTGAATCGTCGATATCGTCATTGCAAACTTCTTTCATTTTCTAGTCGGTATCAGAATTGAAAATGTGTTGGAGAGCATGGTTTTGGTTGTCACGCTGCAATTTATTGCTGGTTAAGTCTTTTACCTTGGAATTGTTAGCTTTTTCACTTACATGAATTTAGCTTGTACCTGGCAACACGAAATTTTTTGTTCCTCGTCCGTGGACTTATTTGACCCGTACTACTAATTGGAACATCCTCGGCCTACTCTTTCTAATGATGTTGCTTTCCACAACACAAAAAAGGCTCCAACATTTCCCGAAATGCCCATACTACTAGCTGCTATAGTTGATTATGCCGAGCCAAGGGTAGCTTCCAAGTGATTTATGTGCTTGCTACTGTTACGTTGGATTAGATAGAAAGGGATTTGCAAGGTGCTAGTTGTTTATGCATCTCCCTGTTTGTTGATTTATAGGCGTATTGTGGGCTTGGCTGGCCCTCCTGGCGCCGGAAAAAGTACTTTGGCTTCTGAGGTAGTGAAACGTGTCAATAAGTTGTGGCCCGTAAAGGCTTCTTCATTTGATTCACAAGTTAATCCACCAGATGTCGCAGTCGTTCTGCCCATGGATGGGTTTCATCTATACCGCAAGCAGCTTGATGCAATGGAGGTTAAAGCTTGCTGCTTGTTTCTCTATTGTGACCTGGACTTGTTGAATTTAAGTTCACTGCTAACCTTCAGTACGTTGTTTTCTAGAACCCAGAAGAAGCTCATGCTAGAAGGGGAGGTGAGCTAATTGGTATTTGACATTTTCTATTTGAAGATTTAGCTGCCCCTGATGTTTGTGTTGGTGATTAAGCTCCATGGACATTTGCTCCAAATCTACTCCTGGACTGTCTAAAGACGTTGAGGAATGAGGTCATTGATTTTAATTTGCTTGCAATCTTTCCGATTATCTCTGTGTGCTTGTCTTGAAGCTTCTCTCTGAGGGATGCCTGATTACCCTACCTCTACAGGGATCAGCTTCTGCCCCATCATTTGATCATGGTGTTGGAGATCCAATCGAGGATGACATATTTATAAACTTACAGTAAGTATATCTTCTGATTTGGAATAACTCTGACCAATAATTCACCTCTGTAGTAAATGAATATTATCTTAGCCACCTTTACAATTTCATACAGTGGTGGGTCTAAATTGAATAAACAATACTGGTGGTATCAATTGAAAGTTTTTTTTACTAATACACTTGTCGTTTGCAACACAATGGCAAAAGACAACACCGTTAGGCAGAGAAAGAAATTAGATGATGTAGTGAGTGCAAGAAAATTGAGGATAGAAAGCTAATCTTCTCTTGCTCTTTGCAGGCATAAGGTGGTGATAGTTGAAGGAAATTATCTTTTCTTGGAGGAAGGAGTTTGGAAAGACGTACAATCAATCTTCGACGAGAAATGGTAAGAAGTCAGTTTTCCACTCCCACTAAATGCTGATGTGCTTCATGCTTTAGCAGAATTTGTTGTCGAAATATTGTGGCACTGAATGCTTGATGGCTTTAGGTGGTAATGAATTTAGATGTCTGTCTTCTTGTATGACATTTTGAAACTCAAACTTTGGCGGTCCTTTGGCACGTGATAATTACCGAACAATGACTCAATCTCTGCTGGCCTCTTCGTCCGCAGGTTCATCGACGTTGATATAGACACGGCAATGACTCGAGTCTTGAAAAGACACATTTCGACAGGTGATGGTACCTTCCTCCGTCTTCTTCACGCCGATTACTTGTCCCAATAGGAGTAGAATGTGAATCTGATTGTTTTCATTTTTCCTTCTGAATCTTGACATATTGTAACAGGGAAGCCTCCAGATGTTGCCAAATGGAGGGTAAGAAGTCGCCTTTTCTTTTTTTGGGTTCTGAGTTCTTTCAGCGTTGGGTTTCAGTCCAATCAAACCCTTCTCGTACTCCATCCAAACTCTTTATCTCCTGAACGGTAAACTCAACTGATGTTGGTGCAGATAGAGTACAATGACCAACCCAATGCAGAGCTCATACTGAAGTCAAAGACGAACGCGGACCTCGTGATCAGGTCCGTCGATTTCTGAGGTGGATTTGCAACACCATTGGACTTGGGGGGGTGCATTGTGCTATGATGAGCTGTAGTAGCTTATTAGTTGATTTGGGATTTTTGGAATGGGTCAAATACAAATCCATCCAGCTTGAGGTCCATGTGTAACAAATAAAAATCGGATCATTTCCAGCAAAGGGTACCCTTTATTTTGTGATGGCTCAGTGTCCAATATATTAGGCTAGGAAGAAGAAGGATAGGGGACAGTTTCCTTTGCTGTAAATTAGTTATTATGTGAGGGATCCAAGACCAGCGGAGCCGAGAGTGACTGACTGGATTTTCCCATGCTGATCCGATATGATCATATGCTGCTAACTAAACTAAGCTAGTTGGGTTGGTTTCATGTCTCAAATGGACCCAGTAGTCGGAATTGAATGCTGCGAAGAGAAGCGAAACACGAGCGGACAGAGTTGGGCCGGCCGGCCGGGGACCATAATAGACGTCGTATTGTCGCTGGTTCAACTTACAGGGACCTTCATTTCCGTCGTTTCATGACTTCTTATGTAATTCTATTTTTCCCTGTGCACCGGAATGAACGCTTCAACCAACACTTTCGGAGGTAATGCGAACTCAGAAAATTATAACTCTCAAATATAAATTATGCGATGTGAAGTCAAATACATTCAAATACATCAAAATAACTTAAAAATCTTGGAAGAGATTCATCTACGAACTTTATACCTATCTTTTTAATTGCGTATTAAACGTCTTTCTCTCGTGGATGATGTACTCAAATCTTGCCAATGCCTAAAAAATGTATATAGATTTACTGAGTGTGAATATAAAAGAAACAGTTATCTAGTAGCAGAATGGTATCTATCTAACTAAGGCCATTAGGAATAGCAATGGGCAGGTCCGGGGCTGGTATCTCGATACCCATATCCGCCTAATGGCAAGCCGGGTAATTTATCACTGGCAGGTCGACCCAATGGGTATGTAATTTGTGCAAAAGACATTAGAAATATTCGTTATTTTCATTAAAAGACCAAGAAAGAATCATAATATGATAAAATATTGTAGTTAAATTATTGAAAAAATTGAGATTTTTTCACTTATTTACAACTTTATTATAGCTAAATTAAAATGTAATAAGAAGAAAATCCTTAGTAATTTGACTAAGATTACATGTAATTTAGACAAGAACGGGTCGAGAATGGGACAGGTCAAGGCAAATCGGATAGATGAGAGGTACACATGTCCGTCCCGCCCCACCTACGAAGCGGGTCCGACCCACCCCAAAACAAGACAAACGATCGAATAAATCAGGTCAAGTCGAAATTATCATTCCTAATAACCATTGACTTTTTCCCCATTGGAACTGAACAACCGAACAATGCCTGCCTAGCCAGACTGAGATATTCATAGTTCCTAAAAATCAATTAAGAGAAAAGGGATCGATATGCCCCAAAAACCCCCCCAAAAAAAACATTAATTTTTTTTTTAAAGGAAAATAATAAAAACAAACAAGTAAACTGCTGGAAACCAGAAATAATTGAATTGAGAGGAACATGGCAGATGGGCAATGGGGCATCGCATATGATATAAATGCTCCCATCAATAGATGCACATGATCATGTTCCCTCTTCCAACCAATTCTGAGGGCATAGGAATCCCCCACCTTGTCCACCCTTTCTTTCTCTCGTTTCTGTACTCTTACATATCCCTGAACCATATACATTAATTAATTTAATATTATATAATATAATATTCCCCCAAAAACCAATCGAGTCACGACACGCACACATGCATGAGTCGATGGCGACCAACAACTAATTTCGATCAATACACCATCACAACAACAACAGGTTAATATAAATCGCCAGCAGCAAATTGCAAAATACAGATGATTGTAGTTCCTGTCTGTACGTAGGCAGTAGTAATAAACAGCAACACCGACAACTTTTATACTATAGAAGTAACTGTATGTCTCACAAACAAAATAGAAACAAAGAAAGGAAAAAAAAAAAAAAGTGCACACAAAATCAAACAAGCGTTCATCAGGGCACAAATTTAAGTACATAACATTATTATTCTCATATGGTATGTAGTATTACGACAGTTAAAACCATATATGGCAATGCCAAATAAAAAAACACAGACACACAGCCTGCTGCTCAATCCATCTCCCCAGCTGCTGCATGCGGTTGAATGAGATCAAAAGGAGCAGCAGCTTGTGTGGCTTTACCTAGGCCCTGTTCTTGCGCTTCTCCATGCCTCTTGGTGCTGCAAGTTAATTAACCCCATCAACAGTTTAGTCATTTGTTTCATTACGACTCATTCGTTCGAGTTAATTAATGAAGTTGATGTACTTTAACTTACCAAGCCCAATAATGGCGTCCTTGCCCTTCATGATGCGAAGCCGCTTGCACGAAACCACAAACATCCTACACCGAATTAACAGCATGATGTGAGCTAGATGTTCAGTAAAACGATCATCAAGGTCGTTGACACAAGCAACACAAAAAATACATACTCCCAAGGGACGTCGCCGACGAGCATCCAGTCACCGTCCTTGTCCTCATAGGTGGGGACGTAATCATCAGCAGCACTACCATTGTTCTCGCCCATGAAATCCTTCATTCCCCCAGCAGCTGCTTCATTAGTGCTGAAGGAGTTGAACATCTTGGCCAGGGCGTCGGAGAGCTGCTTGTAGCTTGCGTACATCTTCAGGTCGACCTTCCTCAGGTATGGAGCCCCGTCCATGCTCACCTTCACGAAGCTCCCCGCCGCCACCTCGCTCTCCGCCGCCGAAACAACAACTTCCTTCTCCTTCCCTGCATTGGTGGTGGTGGTGCTCTTCTTGACGGCCGCCGCCTGCACCATGTTCTTCCTGAACGATCGCACTGGCGGCCACCCCACCACCTGTGCCCTACATTTTTTTCCCCCCCGTGTACACACACATACGTATATAATCATCATTACTCAAACAACCCACCAAGCTGGCGCAAATCAAACGCGTCAAGAATCAATTGGTTTCAATAATACGAGTTGTAGTTAGAAAATGTTCAATTATACATGGAGTATATTTCATTTACTAAGTTAGCTACTTATATAGATTAGAAATTTGCACAAGTTTGGACACCAAATTCTTAATCTGCTCACACTATGAGTTCAAGAAAAAAAGAAAACCTTTCGTAGTGCTATAGACTCTCATACCATGCCTAGAACCAGACTCTGATACCAACGGCGGTATCATAAAATTACTTGCTGTAACTGAGAGATTGATTCTACTTACTTGGCAGGAGGCTTGGCGGGATCTGCCTGGAGAAGGGTCTTCTCCATCTTATTCTGATCAGCAGCAGGAGGAGGAGGAGGAGGAGAAGCATCAAGCAACTTGCCAGCTGCGGCGGCGGCACAAGGTGGAGCGTCCAGCTTGGTGGCGGTGGTGGAGGAAGAAGAGAGGTTGAGCTGCAGATCCATGGTCTCAGTCTCAGAGAATCCTCTCTTCCTCACACTACCATTCCCCGCCGCAACAGCGGCGTTGCCGGGAAGGCCAAGGCGGAGCTCAGTCTCCTCGAACCTCATCATCACCTGCGTCGCCTTCTCAGCTGCGGCTACTTCCATGATGGATGAATTCTCTCCGGTGGATAATGTATGGTTTGGAAAATGTGGAAAGCCAGTTGTTGTAGTGGTTTTCGTTTTGTAATTTAGAGGTGATGATAGATAGACAGATTAGATAGATCTCTCTCTCTCTCCAAATGAAATGACGAAATGAAATGAAATGAACCCCACAAGGCTTTTGTCTCTATGTATATATACTACACGAACACATGCACCCACCCACCCTTTCTCGCTCTCTCTCTCTATCACTTCCAGCCTAGCTGGTCTGCTGGTGGTGGTGTGCTTCCTTCCTTCCTTCTCTCATTCTCTCTCTAAGATTATTGGAGAGGTCAGAGGTGGTTTTCATTTGTTTTTTTTTTTTTTTTACGTTCCCCTCTCTATATTTCATTAATGTTACTATTTGTGGGCTTTAATGTGAATCTAATAATGGACTAATGAGTTGACGATCCAACTCTTAACCAAACTTGAGAAATTGATGGGGGTATGTTTTATGAATTAACCTTCACAATTAGCTACCAGTTGGGGAAAAAATTACAGTTAATAAACATTATGATATGATTCTTTTGACTGATTCTTTTCCTATGAGAATAAACATTTTCATATTATGATATGAAGTTCTCTCTGTTTGATCCAACATTTAGAAGTATTGTTTTCTTTAAAAAAAAAATGAAACCGTGCTAAGTACCTATATTAATTTGGGTTTTGAAAAGCTGAAAATATTTTCATAACAAAGAGCAGAAGCTATAATTTGAAGGTTCTGTCAAAATGTTTTTTATAACACAAGATAACCTTCCACCAAAAGTAACAAATATGTTTAAGAGTCATAAATTTGAAAGTCATCCCTCTAGCTCTGACTCCCCCTTGCATTGGATAAAGCGAATCTCGCACCCTAGTAGACAAGTAGTCATTGTTTGTTTGATGTTCGTGAATGATGATGATCTTGTGGTGCTTGTGTTTAATGTCTTGCTAGTTTGTACTCGCTAATTGGGTGAAGACATTTTATTTTTTTTATGTGTCCAAAGTTAGGATTTGGATTATGAATTCACGATAGATGTTGTAGAGCACTTCTATTATGCTATAAAACATTGGTGCTTTAATGTACAACTTGAAGTTGTACCATAATGTTAAATGTATAACTTCAGGTGTACCATAAATGAATTTGTACCTTATGTTATGGTACAACTTTATGTTGTAAAGTTGTATCATCACATAAATGTACAAGTTCAAGTTGTATCATAAAAGAATTTGTACAAAAGAGTATAAGTACAATATGAAGTTGTACTATAACGTTAAAAGCAGAACTTCAAGTTGTACCATAAAGGCAAAAACCTATAGCACCAATGCTATATGGCATTGTAAAATTTCTCGATATTGTATTTTATTCATATTATTTCTTGTAATTATTACTTCATGTTAACAATGTAGAAGTGTAGCTAAATTATTTGAGTTAGTTGTTGGGATGTGCAATGGTCTGGTCCGTATCGAACCGCACTAGACCAAACCAAAGTTTGGACCACGCTGCACCAGATCGATTATAATGCGGTTCAATCCTTGGTCCTAATGAATTTTACAATTACTGAAGAAATGAAGGACCAAACTGATATTTGGACCTGACCGAACATGACCAAATGAACCAAATGCAGTGATGGGATTGAACCCTTGGTCTTAAGATGTCTATTACTAATGGATCACGATTCTCATGACTTTGGTTCGGTCCGGACGAAACGCTGCACACCCTAAATTATTTGAATGATTTTATTTTGTTATTAAAAAGAACACCATACAAAATCTAAAAATAACAAAAGAAAAATGTCACATGTGGAGGTTGTTCGTGATTAAACGTCAAACTCACCGTTAACCCAACCGATAGCAGACAGTTAACCGATAAGTATTATCAATTCGGTTTCCAATATGGCATGTTTTGCTTAATAGTTAACCACTAACCGCTTAATCGATTAGTGGTTAACCGAAACCGAATGGAAGGACCTCTTCATCTAGAGTAGACATCATAATATCTAAAGAAAACATTATTAAATGCTAACTTCTCGTAAGAACAAAAGATGCAAATCATAAGTCAAAACTAAGAATCAGTACAAGTACAACTAGCTAGCATATCGTTAAAATATTACTGGGTGGTGGTATAGGAACCCTCGAGTTAAGCGTTGGTCTAGAAGTATGCAAATTCACATTGGATCTGTTAAACTTGGGGAGCTGAAGATAACATAATCTCGATGATAATCATGATTAGTGGTGCTTTCTCTTTTAGTCTCATATATTTATGGATCTAATTATATTACTTTTGAAGAGAGTTAGTAGTTCTAGTTAATTAAAGTTGGTTTCTTGATTATATCAACAACTCCAGATCTCTCTTGGTGCAAATCAATCACAAAAGTGATTCATTGGAGATTCTTACAAGATTTCTCCATATATGATGAACCATATGGCAAGATTTCTTGAATAGGGCTACACTGTAAATAGCCATCTCGCCATAGTTGGCATATGGGGGTGCGAAAAAACTAGTGCGCCTACATATATGTGAGCTGTACATTTTGTAGAAGTATGCAAGTTCACATTGGACCTGTATAAATTCATGTTTTAAATTACTTCCAAGGTTGAATAAGTACTTTTTTTCAATAGTGTTGAATAAGTACTTTTTTTCTTTCTAGCCTTGATCATCCAAGGTTTTTTACTCTTCAGCAGACAACACCACACCTTCAGTTGGCTCTTGAAAACCCTGAGTAACCACACCCCAGTGCTCTTTGTATCTTAACTTATTCTCCATCACAAGACTAGCTCTATGCTAATAATAGCCGTCAAATTTTGGCATACACACTTGGGCAAATCCACTGTTCTCACTCATCTCCTATTTTATGATCCTCACTAATCATTCGTGTTTACCAAATAAGCTAACACACAACTCGGGATTTGATTGCAACAATATGAAACTTAAGGACTCAACATAAACTTTGACAAACCACGGAGTGCATGTGCATACTTAGACTGGCTAATCTGAACATATGGAAATATGGACGGTTTCATTGAATTAGTTTGGTAGTGGAAAGTTTAGACACAAAGGCTAAATTAAGGTTGCCATCCATATGTAATTATTTCATCCATTTGGATCTTAATTACTTACACCTTCCTTTCTGAATTGTACTTAAATCAATGCAAATACTAATTTTTATTGAAATAATTAAGTAGCATCGTTAAAGAAGATGATCAGAATCTGTAATATGCTGGCACTTGTTTGCCCTACAGGAAGATCCAAGTGGGGAATGCAGAATACCAGTTTTGCTTTCTATAGTTTACTATCTCTCCCATCATCTAATATTCTTATTGTTGTACAGAATTCAGTGTCTGAGAGATGGAATAATAAGAATAAGTCAATGGGTATAGTTGATCAGAGAGATACTCTGTTTATTAGCTTATTAAGGTATTCGGTTACAGTGGGCGGTGGTTCCATCAGATCTCTCATTAAACACTAAATAATTCAGATGGTCTGTTAAATTACTAATTATTGGTGTGAACTACGAAGGACATGAACATTAGCATTTTGACAAATACTTAACCTTGTCCATGCATGTCCATGAATTAATAAACTGAATTCATTATTTAAAACTCTGAAATTTATAGTTTTCTTATTGAGTTTGATGTACGTTTGCTAGGTGAATTCATATGGTTACCATGTAATAATCAAATCAGTTAACTCTAAATTCTATTAGACATGGAATCCAACATCATAACAAAATCGGCCAAATTAACCAAATTCTAAAGTTTAATCAGTTTGACTAATTGGTTGATAGGATTAGCCAATATAACATAACATTATCATTCCACGAGAAAAAAAATCTCATGTTGATGCATCGATTCTTTGAACATTTGTGAATTTTATTTTTTATGGGTCCAAAAGGGAGAACCGCTTTTCTTGAACGATTACACAAAGTATTAAGTATGTATTTATAATGCTTTAGATATATGACTAGTTACTTAACTGGATAATTATTTTAATTAGTTAGCAGTGTGTGCAATCAGACCAAACCACTTAAATCAAACAAGCTAAAAAGTTTAACCTAACCAATCATCCAAATTAATCAAATCAAATTATACATATACTACTGATTAAAATGATTAGCACAAGCAACCACTTCACTTGAACATAGCTATTGTACTCCAACTTAGTGCTGATTCCTATAGAAATCCCCACTTAAAAGTTTTAGATAAAAGTATATGTTATTAACTAAGCAAAGGAAAAATTTATAGTTAATCTTTACTTGCGTCACTGTTTGTTAGCAAGCTACAAAAAAGTTTTAACTATACAATTCAGCTAACAAAATTGTCATGACTTTTTCTCTACGGATCGGAAAATTGGAGAATTCGACAATGCAAGAAAAACGAAAGCACACACACGATACACGATTTACGTGGTTCACTAACACAATGTATGTTAGCTAGTCCATGGTCAGCAAAGAGCCAATTTAACTATACTTTGAGAAGATACAGATTACAGAGGAGAATGAGAAGTATTTATACTACTTCTCCAAAGTCTAACACTAATCCAAATCGGGTAAAGGAGAAGTAGTTACATACCAGGCCCAGAACACGCACCCAAACAACATTGAGCCCATACACCGTAGGCCGGGGGCGTTGCCCCTGGACCCCACTCGCTGGTCGGGCTGCGAGACCCATGTGACTTCCAGTCATAGAGGCTGATAGTCCGATTCAAGTCACATCAACAAATCTCCACCTTTACTTGAATCCTCTTCCTCTGCAATCTTTGATATACTCTGATCCTTCTCTCCCTCCTACAATCAATGCCCCTTAGGGAGGATTCACCCAATCAAGACATTCAGCAAGTCCAAGCAGTGTTGGAACTTTCCATGTGGAACCGGCTTCGTGAACATGTCAGCAGGATTATCCGTGGTGTCAACCTTCTTCACCTTAATCCTTTTCTCTGTCCTCAAGAAATGATACCTCACGTCGATGTGGTTAGTCCTCTCATGCTGGACTTGATCTTTGGACAAGCATATTGCACTCAAACTATCGCAATACACCACTGCCTGATCATGATGTAGACCCAGATCACCAACCAACCCCTTCAACCATATTCCCTCCTTAGCAGTTTCCGTCAATGCCATGTACTCTGCTTTAGTAGTAGACAATGTCACTATCGACTGCAGAGTTTCCTTCCAGCTCACTATAGAACTCCCAAGAGTGAATACATAATCGGACATCGATCTCCTTATGTCAACATCTCCAGTATAATCACAATCTGAATAACCAGCCACTAAGCACTATGTATCACTTCCAAAGCTAATCCCCACTAAGCACAATCAAATATACCCTTAAGGTACCGGAAGATCCTCTTCACAGCATGCCAATGTTCCTTCCCATGTTGTATCGTAAGCCTACTGATAACACTAACAACATGTGCAAGATCAGGTCTAGTGCATATCATAGTGTACATCAAACTACCTACTGCAATAGCATATGAGACTCTCGACATGTAATCATTCTCAGCCTCTGACTGCGGTGTGTAAACTTAGGATAGATGAATATTTGAAGCACTAGGAGTTTTGAAGGGCTTTGCTGAATACATGCCAAAACTGGACAGTATCTTCTGGTTGTAGCTCTTCTGTGACAAGAAAAGTTTCTTCTTCTCTCTATCCCTGTAAATCTCCATATCAAAATCTTCTAAGCAGCTCCCAAATCCTTCATCTCAAACTCATCACTGAGAAGCCCCTTTAACTTCTGGATATCAGACTTCAACCTCGCATCTATGAGCATATCATCCACATACAGAACCAAATATATCATCGAACCATCCGTTGCCTTGTTGTGATATACACAACAATATAGAGACTTTTGTTGTATCCCAACTCAAGCATGTAGCTGTCAAACCTCTTGTACTACTGCCTCGAAGATTGCTTAAGTCCATACAAGGACTTCTTCAGCTTACAAACATAGTGTTCTTTTCCTGTAACCTGGAATCCTTCTCGCTGAGTCATGTTAATTTCCTCTTCTAACTCTCAATGTATGAAAGCGGTCTTCACATCTAGATGCTTGAGACCCAAGTCATAATGTGTCACAATCACTAGTAGCACCCTGATCGAAGTATGTCTGACCACTGGTGAGACAATCTCATTGTAGTACCCACGACAAACCCTTCTTTGATCTTGGATTTAGTTTACCCTCATCCACATGATAGTAAATAGGATACACTCATAAGAAGTTTTGCACTCGATACATGTGTGAGGTCCACGGTTGATGAGGTAGCACGTCATGTTTATTGCTTCTGCCCATAACCTTCTCTCTAGTCCAGCATTAGAGAGCATGCACCTTGCTCTCTCTGACAATGTCTGGTTCATCCTTTCTGCAACGCCATTTTGTTGTGGTGTGTCTCTAACATTCCGATGACGGGCAATCCCTTCATCCTTGCAGATTTTGTTGAACTCAGAACTACAGAACTCCATACCATTATCCGTTCGAAGTCACTTGATCTTCTTCCTGGTATGATTCTCCACTAAAGTCTTCCACTGCTTGAATTTCGTGAACGCTTCACTTTTCTGTTTCATCATGAAAATCCAAGTAAATCTTGAGTAATCATAAAAAATAGACAGAAAATACATGGTGCCTCCAATGGATTCAACTCGTGAAGGACCCCAACAGTCGGAGTGGAGGTAATCCAGTATCTTCTTCATCTGGTGGATACCCTTCTTAGGAAACTTACTGCGATGCAGCTTACCAAACACATAATGGTCGTAGAATTCCAAACTCTGCACCTTGTGCCCGCAAAGAATATCCATTTTCGAAATAACTTGCATCCCTCGTTCACTCATATGACCAATTCATGTGCCAGAGAGTGATCATATCTTCCTGATGAACTTGAGACGATGCAACAGCAGCAAAACCTGACAACACAGACCCTTGTAATATATACAAGGTCCCAGGCTTCACGTCTTTCAGCACCTCTTTGAACCTTTGAAGACATACACAACTCCACCTCTTCCTTTGAATCTGAGATCCTTGATGTTGAGAAGACTCAACGAGATTCTTCATAATTTATGGAACTTGCCTGACTTCGTTCATGGTACAGAATGAACCATCATGTGTCTGAATTTTGATAGACCCGATTCCAACCACCTTGCAGAAAGCTCCATTAGCCATAACCACGTTACCACCATCTATATGCTTGTACGTTGAGAAGCCATCCTTATTCAGAGACATATGATATGAGGCTACAGTATCCAGAAACCACACATCGCTACGATGTGCCTTCTCATCTACAGCCAAGGCGAGATCATCTTCAGAACTGTTGTCTACTTCTGCCACAACAACAGAAACTTGGTTCTTCTGATGCCCTCTCTTTTTGGGACAGTTGTAGTCCTAATGACCCACTTCCTTCCAGACGTGATAGACATTGCTTGGCTGTGGATCGGGACCCTTATAAATCGAGTTTCTATTCAAATTCTCTTTATCAGATTTCTTCTTTCCCTTTTCACCTATAACAGCCAACCCCGATGCTTCGCCACCTGTACCAGACCCAGACGCCTTATGCCTGATCTCTCTCGTGTGAAGAGCAGATCTGACATCCTTCAACGACAAGCTATATTTACCAGCAATAAAAGAATCCAAAAAATTCTTGTATGAACTCGGCAAATAAAAAAAATAGAGTTAAGTTGTTCCAAATGTTCCCTCAAAGACGTACCTTCTTGCATCCTCAAGCTAAACAAGCATTGCTTGAGATGCAACTTGTTGGTTAAGAACTTCGTCATATACAGACTCTCCAGCTTCAATCACAAGCCTGCAATAGTCTTCTCACTAGCGAATTCAATGATGACTTCCTCAGACAACGATAGCATGATGTCCAAGTGGGTCTTCTCCTCTAGGGTATTCCACTCATCGTCATCGATCGTTGCCTTCTTCTGTTTCACAGACAGTGGGCCCCACAATCCTTGGTATTTCAATAAAGCCTGCATCTTGATCTGCCATATACCGAAACTGTTCTTCGCCGTGATTTCTTGATCTTCATGTTTACCGACATCATTCTTCAGAATCGAAACCCTAGCCTGATTTCAAACCAGGCTATGATACCACTTGTCACGATTGTTTCTCTTCGGACTGGAAAATTGGAGGATTCGACAATTCAAGAAAAATGAAAGCACACACGACACATGATTTATGTGGTTCACTAACACAATGTGTGTTAGCTAGTCCACAGGTAGGAGAGAGCCAGTTTCACTATACTTTGAGAAGATACATATTACATAGGAGTATGAGAAGTATTTATACTACTTCTCCAAAGTCTAAGCCTAATCCAATATGGTAAAGGAAAAGCAGTTACAGACCAGGCCCATAACAGCCCTGACTTCCAGTTGTAACGACTGATAGTCTGATTCAAATCATATCGACAAAAATCATATACTTTAGCCACAAAATAATACATAGTCATATGTGTATTTTCTTGTACTGATAGTAACTCTCAACATTAATTCCCTAACATGTAGATTTGTCATAAGATTATAGTCGATGCTATCAAAGCGGACTCACTCGAAAATTTACGGTCACAATTTATAGACATCTTGTCATCTTATGTGATGAAAGAATGTCACACAATGCATAACGAACCTGAACTATAATAGATATATATGATTTATGATGTGTTAAATAGTACTAGCAACGTTGTTCCTACTTCCTATTTGATGCTTAAAAAGGAGATACATAGCATACAAACCATCTACTTTAGATCTGCATAATAGAAGTCGTTCTTCACATTAACCTGAAAATGTCGCCGCTTGAAGACTAATAACATCAATTATTAATATTACTATAATTATATTGTCATATACACTGATGACATTCATACATTTTTCACATTATTAAGGTTGATGCAAAACACAGTTGTTATTTTTTTTCCTTTCGGATATGGACTGACTTATGGCAAAAATACCAACCCACCAATTTCAAAAGAAGTTTTACCCACATCCAATTTAAAATCTGTCAACACCAAGTTTTACCCGCTTTAAACAAATAAATATGAGTAATATTTCAAATATCATCCTCACAAGTAAGACATAATAACGGACCGAACAAGAACTTGTGTTACTACATCAACATGAAGGTACCATCTTCGAATAGTTTAAATAGCACCTATTAAGAAAAACAAAATTATAAATAATAACGGTTCCAAAAGCTAATAGTCATATAGAATTCTGCTACTTATTAACGCAAAAACTACATAAAAGATTCCTGAGAACAATGCTTTCCGTCTCTACTCATTAATTTCTCTGTCTAGTCGACCTAGAAATCATAATATCATTAATTTATGTTAAGTTATTAAAATCCCGATTCGATGTCGGCTGGCCCTTATATATGTCACTGCTCATGCTGAAGGAGTCTGCTTCGTTAATTAATTTGTTTATCATCTCACTTTGACTTAGACTTAGACTTTTAGTTAGCGGTGTTACCATTCACCACTATAATCTTTTTCACGCCCACCGATAGCCCTAGCATCTTCAACATCCTTCTCTGCACTTCCTGGTTCAATATGTAAGTAGACAGCATATATAATAACAAGGCTTCATTCTTATATTTCTGTTATGCATATTTATGTGTTTTTTGTATAACTACGAGATTTTTTTATGCATTTTGGTTTCTAGTATGCTTTAGGAGATTTTTGTTATGTGTTTAAGTATTTTTTATATATCTTAGGAGCTTTCTTATATACATTTTGGTATTTCATGTATACATTTTAGTGTTTCTAACAAGCATTGTTGTGTATCTGGTATGCATTATAGTGTTATGAGATGTATTACTTAATTTCAATTGGTTCACAATCAAAAACTGAAAATAAGAAATGAAAATAAAAATATTTACAAAATATAAAATTGTACAAATTAATTATTTTTTTAGTGTATACTTTTCCCCCCTATCAATGCTCCTTATTTAATTGGTTGCTAATGATGTTAGCAAAATAATAACACTATGGGTGTCATAATACTAAGTACTAATTTTTTTTCTGTTGGTGACACCCTAAAATACCACCAATAGCGTTAGGGGTTGTTTTCTTGGTGTATACAAAACAATTTATTTGGCAAATGTAGATATTTGATCATTTAGACCATTGGAAATGGAAAAAATCCCAAAATGAACATGTTTTTTTAAAAAAATCCCAAAATACGCAGGTTAATGCATTCATTGCGGTTGACGGCCGCGGTGAATGTATGACGTAACACTGAAACTTCAAACAAACGTAATTTTGCGCTCAGTTATCCGATTGCAACGATTTTTTTATTCCATATAATTTTTCAAGATCTTTCAATCTTATATAAGCCTTCATCCAAAAAAAATTCGTCTGCTACCCCGTCGAGCAATTTTTCGATTTTGACAAACTTTGGATGACCATAACTTTGTGCTTCGCAATCCAAATGTCATGAAACTTTCTTTTTATTTCGCATAACTTTTGAAGGACTACAACTTTGTTGATAACAATAATTTTGGAATGGATGTGAATTTGTGAAAAGTAAAGGTAAAGTTATTCCCAAAATCTCGTATACCCAAAAATATTTCATTTTCTAAAAATTCTTTCCTAGTAAAGTTGTAGTTCTTAAAAAGTTATGCGCAATCAAAAAAAAAATTACGATGTTGCGATTAAGGAGCTAAAAGTTATAACCTTCCAAAGTTTGGCAAAATCGAAAAATTGCTTGTTCGGGGTAGCAATCAACATTTTTTTTAGTTGAAGGCTTATTGCAGATTGAAAGATCCTGTAAAGTTATGCTGAATAAAAAAAATTCGCTACGATCGGATAACCGAACGCAAAATTACGTTCATTTAAAGTTTCGCTGTTAGGTCAGACATTCACCGCGACCGTTAACCGCGGTGACGCATTCACCGTTCGTCTGCTGCGGTGAATGCATTCACTGTAGTTGACAGCCACAATGACACCCAAACATGTATATTTTGGAAAAAAAATTATAACGTGTGTATTTTATGATTTTTGTAAAACATATGTATTTTGAGATTTCATCCCATTGAAAATATTTAAAGCTATCATTTTCAACCAGCCATTTGTGTTATGCTACCATTTGTCCTTACATAAAATATATTTTTATTTTCTTGTTTGCCATCTTAAGAAAGAAACCGTAAGATAAAATCCATTTTACAATCAATATTTAACATATTTTATGGATATCAGCCATATATAATACTACTTTTTTAACAAAAAGTTTATGTTAACTTTGGTTACAATTTTACAACGAAACATAACTTATATTTGAAATTGATCACCAAAATAGTAAAGACTTTTACTAGATAGTAAATGAAAAGTATTATTGAAAAATAATTTATAAGTATTGTCTAAAAATAATTGGAAAGTTTGGATTCGCTTCTTCGAATCACCGTCCAGTTTCGACCAACAACTCGTATAGCTTCCCTTTCTGTTTCTTCTTTCACGTCCAACCCATATTCTCTTGCGTACCCTTGGCTTGCGTTTCCATGGCATTGCCATTGAGAACTTCACCAAAATTTGTGCTCTTCTTCTATGTTATAAACGCGCTGCTACGGATCGGGAAATTGCAGGACTCGACAAAGCAAGAATACGAAAGAGAGAATCGAAAACACGACACACGATTTACGTAGTTCACTAACACGATGTGTGTTAGCTACGTCCACGGGCGAGAGAGAGCCAATTTCACTATATCGAGGAGATTACAGATTACAGAGGAGTATGAGAAGTAATTTATAGTACTTCTCGTAGCGGCTGATAGTCCGATTCAAGTCACATCAACAAATCTCCACCTTGACTTGAATCCTCTTCCTCTGAAATCTCTGATGTACTCTGCTCCTTCTATCTCTCTCCCGCCATCAATGCCCCGCAGGGCGGAGTCACCCACTCAAGACATTCAGCAAGTCCAAGCAGTGTTGGAACTTGCCATGTGGAACTGGCTTCGTGAACATATCAGCAGGATTATCCGCGGTGCCAACCTTCTTCACCTTAATCCTCTTCTCTGTCCTCAAGAAATGATACCTCATGTCGATGTGCTTAGTCCTCTCATGGTGGACTTGATCCTTGGCCAAGCATATTGCACTCAAATTGTCGCAATACACCACTGCCTGATCACGATGTAGACCAAGATCACCAACCAGTCCCTTCAACCATATTCCCTCCTTAGCTGCTTCTGTCAACGCCATATACTCTGCCTCAGTAGTAGACAATGTCACCGCCGGCTGCAGAGCTGCCTTCCATCTCACTACAGAACTCCCAAGAGTGAATACATAACCGGTCATCGATCTCCTCGTGTCAACATCTCCAGCATAGTCCGAGTCAGAATACCCAGACACCAAGCACTCTGTATCACTTCCGAAGCTAATCCCCACATCAGGTGTACCCTTAAGGTACCGGAAGATCCTCTTCACAGCCTGCCAATGCTCCTTCCCAGGTTGTATCATAAACCTGCTGACAACACTAACACCATGTGCAAGATCAGGTCTAGTGCATACCATAGCGTACATCAAGCTACCTACTGCACTAGCATATGGGACTCTCGACATGTACTCCTTCTCAGCCTCTGACTGCGGTGCATAAGCCGAGGATAGATGAACATTTGAAGCACTGGGAGTATTTAAGGGCTTTGTTGAAGACATGCCAAACCTCGACAGTATCTTCTGGATGTAGCTCTTCTGTGACAAGAAAAGCTTCTTCTTCGACATGTCCCTGTAAATCTCCATACCCAAGATCTTCTGAGCAGCTCCCAAATCCTTCATCTCAAACTCAGCACTGAGAAGCCCCTTTAACTTCTGGATATCAGACTTTGACCTCGCAGCTATGAGCATATCATTCACATACAGAACAAGATAGATCATCGAACCATCATCCACCTTGTTGTGATACACACAACAATCATATGGACTTCTGCTGTAGCCCAGCTCAAGCATGTAACTGTCAAATCTCTTGTACCACTGTCTCAGAGATTGCTTAAGTCCATACAAGGACTTCTTCAGCTTACAAACATAGTCTTCTTTTCCCGGAACCTCGAATCCTTCTGGTTGAGTCATGTAAATTTCTTCCTCCAACTCTCAATGTAGGAAAGTTGTCTTCATGTCTAGCTGCTCGAACTCCAAGTCATAATGTGCCACTATTGCTAGTAGCACTCTGATCGAAGTATGTCTGACCACTGGTGAGAAAATCTCATTGTAGTCAACTCCTTCCCTCTGCGAGAAGCCTCGTGCAACCACCCGAGCTTTAAATTTCATGCCCTCTTTAGAAGTGATTCATTCCTTCTTCTTGTAGATCCACTTGTTTGTAACAATCTTCCTTCCCTGTGGTCGTTTGACTAGCTCCCAAGTCTGATTCCTGTCATGAGATTCCATCTCATCTCCCATTGCGGCAAGCCACTAATCAGCTTCACCACCCGAAACTGCTTCTTTATAGGATTGTGGCTCTCCTGCATCCACTTCTTCAGCAACCTGAAATGAATATGCCACCATGTCCTCGAAGCCATACCTCTGTGGAGGTACTCCTGCAGTCGCTCTCTTCGGTCTACCGGAAGCAATAGACTGTTGAGCTCGTGCACTGGACTCTGAAGTTTCTGGCTCTGCAGAGATATCCTCATCATGTTGATCTTCTCCACCTTGGTGCTCAAACTCACTCTCATTAAGAGTTTGCAGCTCCACCTGCTTATCAACATTCCTGCTACCTTCAACAACAGTAACCTTCAATATGGGGTTAAACATAGACTTCTCATCAAATATCACATTTCTACTGAGTATAACTCGATGCTCAGAAGGTGACCAGACTCGAAATCCATTAACTCCATCTCCGTAACCCACAAATACACCCTTCTTTGCCCTTGGGTTAAGTTTACCCTCATCCACATGATAATAAACAGGACACCCAAAAACTTTCAGTGAAGAGTAATCAGCAAGCTTACCATACCACACCTCATAAGGAGTCTTCAACTCGATACCTATGTGAGGTCCACGGTTGATCAGGAAGCATGCCATGTTCACTGCTTCTGCCCAGAATCTTCTCTCTAGTCCAGCATTAGAGAGCATGCACTGTGCTCTCTCCAACAATGTCTGGTTCATCCTTTCTGCAACGCCATTATGCTGGGGTGTATCTCTCATAGTCCGATGACGGGCAATCCCTTCATCCTTGCAGAATTCGTTGAACTCAGAATTACAGAACTCCAGACCATTGTCCGTTCGCAGCTTCTTGATCTTCTTCCCGGTCTGATTCTCCACCAATGTCTTCCACTGCTTGAACTTCGTGAAAGCCTCACTTTTCTACTTCATCATGAAAATCCAAGTAAATCTCGAATAATCATCAATAATAGATAGAAAATACCTGCTACCTCCAATGGATTCAACTAGTGAAGGACCCCAACAGTCGGAGTGGAGGTAATCTAGTATCCCCTTCGTTCGGTGGATACCCTTCTTGGGAAACTTGCTGCGATGTAGCTTCCCAAACACACAATGCTCGCAGAATTCCAAATTCTGCATCTTGTGCCCGCAAAGAAGATCCCTCTTCGACAGAACTTGCATCCCCTGTTCACTCATATGCCCCAGTCTCATGTGCCAAAGAGTGGTCATATCTTCCTGATGAACCTGAGACGATGCAACTGCAGCAGAACCAGACAACACAGACCCTTGTAATGCATACAAGGTACCACGCTTCACACCCTTCAGCACCTTCCTTGAACCTTTGCAGACATACACAACTCCACCTTTTCCTTTGAAACTGAAACCCTTGCTGTCGACTATACTCAAGGAGATCAGGTTCTTTGTCATTCGTGGAACATTCCTGACATCATTCACGGTACAGAACGAACCATCATGTGTCCGAACCTTTATGGACCCGATTCCAACAACCTTGCAGACAGCTCCATTAGCCATGACCATGTTACCGCCATCTATCTGCTCGTAGGTTGTGAAGCAATCCCTGTTCGGAGACATATGGTATGAGGCTGCAGTATCCAGAAACCACACATCCCCACGATGTGCCTTCTCATCTACAGTCAAGGCAAGATCGTCTTCAGAACTGTTGTCCACTTCTGCCACGGCAACTGAACCTTGTTTCTTTTGTTGCCCTCTTCTCTTGGGACAGTTGTACTTCCAATGCCCCACTTCCTTACAGTTGTGACAAGCATCACCTGGCTGTGGACCGGGACCCTTGGAATTCTTGTTCGAATTACCTTTACCAGATTTCTTCTTTCCCTTTCCACCTGTAACAGCCAAACCCGATGCCTCACCACCTATACCAGATCCGGACGCCTTATGTCTGATCTCTCTCATATGAAGAGCAGACCTGACATCTTCCAACGACACGCTTTCTTTACCGGCAATAAAAGAATCAACGAAATTCTCATATGAACTCGACAAAGAAACCAGCAGGATTAGGCAGCATCCTCGTCATCAACTTGAACATCTATATTACGCAAATCCAGCAAAATAGAGTTAAGCTGTTCGAGATGTTCCCTCAAAGGCGTACCTTCTTGTATCCTCAAGCTGAACAACCGTTGCTTGAGATGCAGCTTGTTGTTAGAGACTTAGTCATGTACAGACTCTCTAGTTTCAACCACAAGCCCGCGGCAGTCTTCTCAGCAGCGACTTCAATGATGACGTCATCAGACAACGATGGCATGATGGTCTAGTGGTCCTTCTCCTCCAGGATATTCCACTCATCGTCATCGATCGCTGCCTTCTTCTGTTTCGCAGACAGCGGCCCCTACAGCCCTTGCTGTTTGAATAAAGCCTGCATCTTGATATGCCATATAGCGAAGCTGTTCTTCCCCGTGAACTTTTCGATCTTCATGTTCACCGACGTCATTCTTCTGAATCAAAAAATCCTAACCTGATTTCCAGCCGCGGCTCTGATACCACTTGTTATAAACGCGCTGCTACGGATCAAGAAATCGCAGGACTCGACAAAGCAAGAATATGAAAGCGAGAATCGAAAACACGACACACGATTTACGTGGTTCACTAACACGATGTGTGTTAGCAACGCCCACGGGCGAGAGAGAGCCAATTTCACTATATTGAGGAGATTACAGATTACAGAGGAGTATGAGAAGTATTTATAGTACTTCTCCATGTGGGTCTAAAACTAATCCAATCTGGTAAAGGAAACGGTCACAGACCAGGCCCAGAACCCGAACCCAAATAACATTGAGCCCATTACCAGTCGTAGCGGCTGATAGTCCGATTCAAGTCACATCAACATTCTAGTTGGCTTGCTTTATACTTGCTGCCTCCTGAACGAACCCGCAAAGCGCTTGCAGTTTCATATCTAGGGATGAGAGCCTTGCGCGGATGATCATCCACGCGCACTGTTTCCTTTCCCACGATCTTGTTGACGGAGATCTTGATATCCTCAACCGTCCTAAGTTCACTTACGTCGACATGGGCCACATCATCGCTTTGGTTTGTTGCTATTGGACTTGGCAAGTAAGCCCCAAAAGGAAGAATTTATAGTTGCTACCTTCTTCTTCTTAGTCTGCTCGAAAGTAGAAAAATCAAGGACGATCACGCCATTGACCTGGTTGCAAGCTCTCTTGTTGAGGCCTTCTGTAAACTTGTTGCATATGACGGCCATGCACTCCACGATAAGTTGGAGGCATGCAATACTTTAATTGGTCGGCTATCCAGCGTAGATTAGTCTCTAACAGATCGACCATGGCTCTGATACCAAATGATGAACCAACACTCTCGCTTTAAGAGTTTTGCTTGTAACTCCACAAGCGAGAGAACAACGTTGATGTCGAAAAACTTGATTGCTTCTCGGGCTAATGTTGAACTTATTTATATAGTACCATAACCCTACCTCTAACCCAAGGTTGTCAAACCGATTTATACTGTTGCGCCGGTTTAGCGAATGGAAAGGTACGACCAGTGGTACAATTGGTTTGTGTCGGTTCATGCTGACTTAATAAAATACTTCATTTCAAATAAAATAACAAATACTCATATTTAAATACAATGTTTAACGTCAATACTTAAACATTTATACCTACATTCAACAAATTACATCAACTTTTAACTCTTATATTCATAAAATATGTAATAAATTCATTTATTATTATTATTATTTAAATTCAGTAAAACAACGTCATTTTGCTTATAATTCGTAAATCGATCATGCCATTGATTTTCATGTCAGTTTCATGACTGGCACTGGTTGAACCAGGTTCAACCTACCAGCATGCCACTTGCATGACTACCATGCTCTACCCTTACCGGAAAATTCTTAGCTCCAACCTTGGTTGGACGCAGAAACTCCAACCAGCCACGTGTCAGTTTTGTATTGGTGATTCATCATTTTTTATATTTTAATTCTTGATTTACTTAGCATAATTAAATATTAAAAAAAAAAAGTAAATCCACCAATAACAAACTGACACCTTAAATGATTGGAGATTCTGCGTCCAACTAAAGTTGGAGCTAAAAATTTTCCACCCTTACCCCCATGACCACTTAATGAAAGAAAGAAGACTCCTACTCGGCCCATGCAAGCCGCCAACTAACCTACGTAACTCTGACGCAAAGCTGACCTAGACCTAATAACACAAACCCATAACATAATTAAAACACATAAACGTAATAACTCAAAGCCCAAACAGTCATTCTCATCACGACATTTGTCCTGTGTCATTGGAGAAGGCCTAGGGATAGTAATGAGCCGAGTGGATCCAAGCTTTACCTTATTTAGGTTTGACTCGTTAATAAATAAGTCAATCTCGAACTTGATTCATATATAAATGAGTTGAGTCGAGTCAAGCTGACTCATTTATTAAAACCGTCTTGACTCATAATTAATATTAGATATTCGGCTCGAGCTCAACTTTATGATAATTTATAAATTCAACCATAATATTTAAGGGGTCGTTTGGAGGTTGTGATTTGAAGTGGTGTAATTATAGTCAATACATACAATGTAGAGATTTAGTCATTTTTTTCGTTTAAATTGAGTTACAATACATGTATTTACTTTTTAAGGGTCCACCTCTAATCCCTCAAAATGAAGGATTGACAATCTCTAGCAAAAGCTGAGACTGTAAACGAATTATTGTCTGTAAGTCTTTTATTCCACTTTTGTCCCTTCTATTTTTTGTTTATTCCAACATTACCTCACTCATTGCTCCTCTTACTTTGGATAAAAGAGTTAATGAATGAAAAATATGTCGTTAAACCGAAAAAGTATATTGCTTTTTTAGATATGTGAAAAGTACAATCTACACCTCCAGGGGCGGACCCAGGGGTGTTTAGGGGTGTCCCCGAACACCCCTAAATTTTGGGAAAACGATTATCCAACCCCCAGTAGTAATTTACGTATGGATAAAAAAAATAATTGATAGTGAGGAACACCCCTTAAATTTGAAAAAATGATTATCCTACTGTCATTTGTGTATAGGAATATAAGTGTTAGGTTGGATAATTTAAATCTAGCACACTATTATTATTAATAAACTTAATTTCCGTTGAGCTAAACTCATTTATTGTTCGATTTTGAACATTGTGTAATAGTAAAATGGCATTCCCTATCTCTAATTATTTTAAAAACCTAACAATTAAACTAATTTCAAACTACCCTTAATTTGTATTGATTTCTTGATTGTACGAAAAATGTTGAAAGAGTCTTTCAGCTTTGGTTACATCAAGAACAAGTTTACAAATCGAATATGCGATAAATTCGTGAATTATTGTCTAGTAGTGTATATAGAGACAATTTTTTTAAACACTATAGACACCAAGTGTATTCTACAATTATTTCCGAATATGAAAACACATCATAATTTTTTTTAACCTGTACGAGTAAGGTATTTTCATATTTACAATTTTATTTTTATTAATTATTTATTTTTATTTAATTTATTTTTTAAAAGAGGACACCCCTATAAAAAATTTCTGGGTCCGTCACTGTACACCTCCAAACAATGGATTTTTTAAATACAATCATTCAAACAAAACATCAATTTAGAATACATACATTGATTGAATTCATCAATTTAAAGAATCCCAACTTCCAAACGACCCCTAAATGTCATATATGATACATGTGATTAACTGATCTCATAAGATATAGACTGATTTTCTTATAAGGTATTCGAGTTGGCTCAGTAATCAGTAATCACAATGTGGAGATATCTCATGAGCTAAAAACCAAAAGATTTCACAAGTTTAGCTCAATAAGCCACCTAAGTCGAGCTGGCTCACGAGCCTCGCAAGTTGAACAAAACTTAATTCAACATGGACTCATTAATAGATGAGTCGAGCATTTTCTTAATCGAACAAGTTTTTATCGATCGAACGTCGAGCCGCTCTTGAATAGCTTGACTCATTAACATCCCCTAGAAGCTAACTATTCATCCTCTCTATGAAATGAATCTTTGAGGATGCCATCAATGTTCAACTTTACTAGGGATGAAAACGGGGTCGGGTGGGACCGGTTTTCATGTATATAATCCCCAAACCAAAATTGTAAAATCTTAATCATCCCTGCAATCAAAATTTTGTGATGTAATACGTCATGCAAAAACCAACCGGTATACGGTTCTGTGAAAACCCACCCACACCATTCTTGTGCAAATTTTTCTATATTAAAATTTTCTTCGAACTTCAATGTAAAATGAATTTTTTTGTCAAATTGTTGGCAAAACTAAGAGAAAAGGAACTAGAATTGAGATCTATGAGATAATTATTATGTTTTAGCGACATGGATGATGGAAGTGTTAAAGTGAATGAATCAGAACATAGTTATAACACATATTCGGGTGGGTTCAGTGTAGATACGTTAAAATACCAAAACTGCACAAAACTCATATCTTCTTTGTCGAATTCGAGAAAACCCATCGAAAGATAATATCGTTTGATTTTTTCCCTTCAAAATTCGTTCGAATTTGGTTGGGAATGAGTTTGTTTGTCATTAGTTCTTTGGGCCCGTTGGTTGACTTGAAGCAACTTTGGGCGTTCAACTTGAGAAGCCCAATTATTCTGAGAAAAACGTTTCCGGAACATTAATTGAAGTAAGAAAGCCCAAACTTCTATTCTACGGAACAAACGTTTGTGTTCCATAATCCATCTGTTTCCTTCAGCTCCTGCAATTTTAGGGTTCTTCAACTTCAGATTATATCTTTTGTGGGGGGCAAGACTGATTTTGTTGAGTGATCAGTTGACATGTATAGAAAAATGAGAATATTATTATGGTAGGTAAGCTTTTCCACAGAAAGACTTTGAGTTCAACTCAACGAAAAAAAAAGACTCTGAGTTTTAAGATCATAACGTATGTTTTCATATGTTGGGGAACATTAAGTAGCGAGATACGTGCTCTCTCTTAACCTGCCGTTCCTCCAAAATCAAGATTTAACTCTCAAAATTGCAACTTTTTTATCGTCATTTCTCGTTTGAAATCCTAAATTCGCCACTAATATTTATTCTATATTGTCTACCTCAGAACATTAGAGGAGCCAAATTCAAAAGTTTGTCAGCTTAACCGGTGGAATATGTACTTTTTGTCTATCTAAACGTAGTACATAATTAAACCACAACGTTTTGTTATCGTTCAATATTACATACCTACAAAGTTATATATGGGCTTCTCTACAGTGTACTAAAAAATATGAGAAATATACAATGATCATATGCATGCATTTTCCCCCCCTATACTAATTATATAGTTTAGAATTACAGACAATCAACACATGTTTACTCGTAAGTTTTATCTTTATCATGATGATTAAATGAATCTATGGAGGTGTACTGAGCAAATGATTTCACATAAAATTCATCAATTTCTTGTTCATAAACGAGATGAGTCAGAATGATCAAGGGGCGGAGCCAGGATTTCGAGACTGTGGGGTCGAAAATAATTAAACAAAATGTTGATGGCCAAAGTGGATCGAACCCATATATATGATTTAAAACTTTAAGTCAAACTTGGCTACCATTAAACCACATGACTATTACACAACAAGATTTACATAACAAGTCTACTTATAAAATTTATACTAAATATCCTTAAAATTCTGGGGGCGGGCCCACCCTAGGTTACATGTAGCTCCGCCCCTCAACATGAGGATTATAAGACAAATGTTCAGCAGTTTATCAACCGGAAGAAGACTCGTATATATGCTATATCTATACATCCCTGTCATGTAAGTAATGCAAGCCTAATAACATACTTAAGAGTCGGAGATAATGGAGATATAGGTATAAGAAGAGGGACACAAGTAGGGTGGAATTGCCAGTGAGACTGTGGGATCATATAAGTATCCTTATAAATACAAGCCTAATGACATGCATACATATTACATAGAGTTGGATATGGTTTGCACATAATTGAGCATAAGAAGAGGGACAAGGTACCGTGGAATTGCCGTCGATATTTGCAGGGATATAAGTATCCAGCCTATCAGTACATTCGGACCAAGAAATAAGGCTTATGTCATGTGTGTATGAGAGTGATATAAAATCCAACATAATTTTCTCCTAACAACTAGAGTTATTGGGAGTAATTGGTTTATGACATGGTATTAGAGCTGGTTTGGCCAAGTGATCATGTGTTCGAATCTGAGGGGGCATGTTAGAGAGTGATACACGATCCAACATAACATTCTCCCAACAACTCATGTTATTAGGAATAAACCATGGAGCGTATTAGAGAGTAATATAAGATCCAATATAACATTCTCCGAACAACTCGATTTATTAGGAATAAACCAGGTAACAACTGATTTACGACAATGTATACCTTTAATTTTGTGCCTCCACCTGCCGGTATGTATTTTGGATATACGCACAAATACTACAGACTAGCTATGGACCCTCCACTAGACAAAACGGTGTACATGGATGGTTACAGATGCCAGCCAGCAAGCAAGCAAGCAGTGGAAAGGTGTTCTAATTATTGAATTCACCTTATGAGGTGTACGTATAACTAAGTTGTAATCTGCCCACTCATTCTTGTTCGCATTTTATCCTGCATAGTCCCTGCATACCTAGCTGTGTTTTTGGTGGGTGTGGCCATATATGTTTTGCAACATTCGATGAATTTGATATTGGTGTTTGTTACACCATATCATAATATCAGTTGAATTGTATGTAGCTGGGGATTCAACCGGTACAATCTTATTATGGTTTTATGGTCATGGTTTGATGAGGGTCTGGTCGAGCCGGACCAAGTGGATCAGACCAAGTGGTGCGTTCTAAGGTCGCATTGGAGCAATGCTCTTTCACCATCATGAATGAACTCATCCATAGCAAGTTCTTGACTCTTAGTTTTCGGTTGTGGAATGTAGCACGACTCGACCGAATTGGCCATGAGGGTCATCATGACTAACTCCAACTTGGATGCCCCTCGAGTTGTGGAATAAAGTCTTCTTGATATGAAGAAACATTTGAATCTCCCAAGGGTGTCGTTGTTTCTCATGGAAGGATGGTTGGTATGGAACTCGAATCTGAGTGATGAGCATTATGGCGAGGTTAAGGCCCAAGAAGATCTCAAACTGGCACGTTCTTGCCAAAAGAAGAACAAAATCACCCCGTTGATCCAACGGTTTCAACACTGAGGCCTTCTCCGGCTTGGTTGTCCCATGAAGGATTCAGGTAACACCAATTGGATGTTGGTTAATACCTTCACATGTCGGAGAAACCATTGGGATTTATGATTCAAACGTGGACAAATAAAAACAAAAACACTCGCAAGGGTGAAAAATAAAACAAAGATCAAGTGAAACTAGTGAAAGATACCACAATATTGTGGGACAAGGAAAAAATATCGAACTCACGATTCTCTATATATATTATTACTCAGTTTGACTTTATTATTTAGAACATTCCATTTCAGGTTAAACAACTAAAATAACTACATGAAAGGTTAAACTACAAATTACAAGGTTGGAGGCTGACTAAGGTATGATTCCTCCAAACACTAGTCGGATTAACGATTGATGATTCTCTAACTTATTTCTTTTTTTTTCGTTGAATCTCACTCTCCATTCATAATGCGGAAAAATCTCAACAAGCCTGGAATCTCGACTAAGTAGACATGACCCTCTTGAATATACTGTTTAGAGGGACAGTATCTTTAAATACGACATAATATCAAGACAATCACACCAGACTCCCTCTATTGGGTAAAATTCTCACTCAATACAAATCAATTGATCGACTCCCTAACACACAATCGATCATCTACTTCCAATCAATTTTGCTCTATTAACCTTATCAACTATTCTCTCTCATAGGTCACAGTAGAAATAAATAGGCTTAATTAGAGCATAATTGATCAGAATTGATCCTGAAAATATACAAAGATATGAACTCAAGTTTAACAAGTTAAAGTAGTTATACAATTATCAAGTCAAATAAAGATGACTAAGGTTCCTCAAACCCAAATGAAGAGAAGTTACTCCATAGAGAAAAATATTACAGATAAGAAGATGAAAAACTTCATTGTTTTGATGAAATTCTCTTCCCATTAGAAGATCGTTTGTTTGCTGTATTTGTAAATGTTGACTTTTGACAAATAAAGTCAACCATGAAAATAACCGACATGTAACATATTATTTGGGTATTTTTTAAAAACTGGCATGCGTTTATATTACTTAGGTGGAACGAATGGACTCAAAGTCCTTACAGAGCGAATGTGCCAAGAAGAAAGGGGTTGATCAGCCCACACCTCTTTCGTGTCTCAATTACAAAAGGTATGGGCTAAAATATGGGCCAATTCGTTAAAAGCCCGTTTCGTGTAGTTGAAAACAACTCGGCCAAACCGACCCGCCTCCTAGCGGATTTCTTCGCAGATCTCTTCCACCTCCGCCACAGAGCGCATATCCCGCATCACCTTTTGTATTAGAAGCAATCAGTCTTACTCGACATCCAACGATGATAAACAAAATCGATCAGTCAACTCAAAAGCAAACAGCAAACCCATCGTCTATGCGACGTCCGACATCCACTGCCGTCGGCTTCGCTTCACGATAGCAAGGTGAAAACTCCCTCGAAGGTTTCGAAAGATGACTCCCAAACTCGTTCCCACACCTTGGAAGATCGCAGGATCAACATTCACCTTTAATCGATCACGCTCGGGTAGTGTCCATTGAGATGGTGACTACTCTGTTGGATTTTGAATTCTTGGATCCATTCCAAAGCTTTGCTAATGATTTCTCCTTCGTTTCTTCTTTTTTATTGTTCCACAGATGGTTATTTGTGTTGATTCAATATGAACCAGAGGACCACCACTAAGGATTCAATCGCCTTAGCTTCTCACTCTCCTGGAGCTCACAACAACACTATTCACATATATGTTTTTTCCCCTTTCCTGAACAGCTGGTTAATCGTAAATCGTTGTCAAATTTGCCTGACCCAACCACAGTCTAGGAAAATATGATGTTGTGTTTCCTTCAATCCACAGAATGGGCACTCATCACAGCCTCTTCATGTTCTGTCCACTAGGTTTCCGCATGTAGGAAGGATGTTATGTATCCATCGCCATGCAAAAATTTGGACTTTAGGTGGTATGTTTAGGCTCCAAATTTGTTTCCAGTTCACTGGGACATAAAGATCCCCTATTACTTCGCCTTTCATTTCCTTCCACTTCGTATAAGCTAATTTCATTGAGTAGAAACCTCGACTCTCCAATCCCCAAACCATTTTATCTTAACAAGATTGTCTAGGAATTGATATCTACAAATTAATAAGAGAGATTTTATATTTTGCTTCATGAGATTTTTTATCCTACTTTATCCCTTTTGTTTTATATACCACATTAAATATATTTATCAACAATAAAAATTAAAATTTTAAAATCTATTTTCAACAATCCAAAGAGATATAATCTTTAGATGGTGCAGTATGTGTTGAGTCACATTCAGCAGGAGGGCTAATCCTAAAGGATGAAGGAGGCCCTTTCTTGTGGCTCGGAAGGTGATTTTTTTTACATCCAACCTCGTGTCGATGTTTTGATTTTTGTTCCTGGGTTGGTTCTAGGGCGTAATTTTTGATTTTTCTATCAATCAATATGATTATCTCTTGTAAAAAAAAAGAGGTAGAATCTTTAGACTGTTGATAATCTATAGATTTATACTCATATTCTTCAAACGACCCCTATATTTGCCCCAAATCGACTTGTTTGCCAACGAAAAACAAAACTAGTCATTTGCAAATGACTCGCTCTCCAAATGACCCGTTTTTCTTCAATAATTTCCAATCTTAACCCTCTCATATTTTTTTCATATACAGAATAATAACATGATCATAGTGGAAATCTAAAAGTGTTAGAAGTGTATTTGGAGATCTCATATAAGGTAAATTAGTTGCATTTTCACAAAAAAAAAAAAATGGTACTATCTTGTTTCACAAAATCTTTCTTTGAAGCCTGGCAAATGCAGCATTGTGTTTGATGGAGCAAAATATCTTTCATGATTTTGTGGTCTATACATTTCCATTTGTTTAATCTCCTATAATATTAGCGTAATCAGGTCAACAAGATTCGAATGGTCCAAACTCCAAAGTTCGTTAGTTCACAAAGAGGCCACACTTTAATTGCAATTTGGGGGACCTCCCCTCCACCCACAGACCGAATCAAAAGAGAAAACCCGAGTGCGCTGACCCGAACTAATCCACCCAATCCAATCTCCCCCCGACCCAAACCCACAACCACACATGGACCGTTTTCCCAGCCAACCCACGCCATCTACGTGCCACCCGCTCCCATCACATGCCTCTGTCCCCATCTCATCCAACGGTGCCTACCTCCACATAGAAACCCAATCTCAGCCGTTGGATTCCCCCTGGTCCACCGCCTCCCTCTCCCCTAAAAATTATACCCGGCCCACCCGTTTGCTGCCTTTGTCCCTTCCTTGTCCCCTCCCTCCGCTACACGACTCTCGATGCTGCTCCTCTTTCCACTGGCACTCATATCCCGTGTGTGTTCTCTCAAAATCTTCACATCACGCGCTCCAACCTCACTCTCCTCACCGTTGGATCCCTCTGATTGGCCCGTGTAACAAACAGCGCGTGGGGTTTCAGAGTGGTCGCCATCATTACTCCTCACGCACGAAGTGGGGAGTAAATTGCCCAGAGAGACTGTCTGTCCGCTTTACCCATTTTCCCCACCTTTCCTATTTAGCTATCATTTCAGCCCTCCCATCTCCATCCACAATTTCTCACTTCATTCCTACCTTCGATTCCTCCGTTGAACATCGATTGAAATTATAGAACTGAGAATCGAGAATTGAAGTTGATTACATGGAGAGATCTTCTTCTTCATCGATGGAGCTGGATTCCGATCTGAACCTCAAGGCCACGGAGTTGAGATTAGGTTTACCTGGACACTGCGGCGACGACGACGACGGGCCTGAGAAGTCGCAGATCAGCAGCACCTCTCCAACAACTGTATTGACAATCGGCAGAAGCAGCAGCGGCGGTAGCAACAAGCGATCTTCGCCGGAAGCTCCGTCGTCCAACGAGTGCCGCTCGCAGAGCGATTCCAGCGCGTCCGGCGTCGAATTCGAGGACCGAGATTGTGCTCCTCCTCCTGCCAAGTAAGTTCTCCGATCTCATCCAGCTTAACCGTGATTATATCTATTCCAATTTAATTCAAGCGATTTGAACTGATGAACTGCGTGATTTTGGATATGTGCAGAGCGCAAGTTGTGGGGTGGCCGCCGATCCGGTCCTACCGGAAAACCTGTTTGCAGCAGCAGAAGAGGGGAAGCGAGTCGGGGATGTATGTGAAAGTGAGCATGGACGGAGCTCCCTACCTGCGGAAGGTCGATGTGAAGATGTACAAGAGCTACGCGGATCTGCTGGCGGGGTTGGAGAGCATGTTCAAGCTCAAGTTCGGAGAGTACTCGGAGAGGGAAGGATACAACGGATCTGCCTACGCGCCGACCTACGAGGACAAAGACGGCGACTGGATGCTGGTTGGGGATGTGTCGTGGGAGATGTTCATCTCTTCCTGCAAGAGGCTCAGGATAATGAGAGGCTCCGAAGCGAGAGGGCTTGGTAACTGAGAATTTAAACAGTTACCCACACACACAACACAAACAAAGCTCAGCCATGGCGGCCACAGATTTTTACTGATATATTCTTAAACCTCTGCCGGGTTCTTGATTTGGAACCGACGGGATATTTTCTGGTTGTATACATATATATACAGTATAAAGAGCATCTCGAACAGATCGTAATGGATCGCTCTTTAATTTTTTTTTTTAAACCTTGTTTGGGGATGTTCTTCAGCTCATTTGCTTTGTTTGGGTTCTTGTTGCTTGCTGGCTTTGGCTGATCCTTTTTTCTTACTTTTCCTCCCTATACGTTCCACACTGAATACAGAGACAGTTCACAGAGATCAAATAAGTGGAAAACAGAGATCTCTTGAAATTTAAGGTTTTCAATAAGGATTGGATGTCATCTTATCTAAGACTATACTATTTTGATTTTTGTATGCAGTACTAATTGCATTAATCACATTACAAAAAATTTACTAGGTTTGCCCATATAGATGGATTTAGATCCACCCAAATAACTAATCTGAAGTCTGAACTGAATGAGTATAACTAAGTGGACAGAGACAGACACATGGATTTGTCTAGGTACGAGATCAGAAGAAAATACTAAGAGATGAATGTAAATGGTTGTTGTGGTTTGGAGAATGAAATATGAAGTTGCAATTCATACACTAAAATAAATCCATGTTTGTTTTATATATCCAACATTTGAAACTTTAGGTTATAGCTTTCACATCTCTAAAAATTCGTGATATCAAATTTGTCTTAAAACTAAATAATGTTTTATAAACGCAATGTTGTTCTTTTTAGGAGGTGTATAAGTGATTTTCGTTGGGTGTTTGTACGTTCAGAAGACTCGAGTTTGTCGACCACGGAATAGTAGGGTTGCGACAAGCCTTCAAAAATTGGCATTCAAAATTCATCGTGCTCTCCTTGAGATTTGGTTTACTACATCCTTTTCCGATCACTCTAGATTTCTTTATCGATGTAGAATTTTTCTTTTTACTGTTCTTATATTATTTGACGATGTTGTCTTCGCTAGGAATCATATGAGCTTTATCAACAAAGGCATTTTTGACACATGTGGTTTAGTATACTTTCTGGATATTTAGGTTACACATTCTTTTGGATAAATTGTTCTCAGTGAGCGAAGGTACACGGTAGGTATCTTAGAGAAAGCTAGAGTACTAGGAATACACCATGTTCAATTTCCTCTAGAATATAATCACTGTCTCACCCTCTTAGGACTCTGTGTTGGAGTAAGAAATCGAGTTGTAGGTGCTGGAGAAATCCGAATCCGAGAAGGAGAAGGACTTGTTTGGCGCCAAGGTTCAAATGTGGGTTCGAATAAAAAGGAACGTTGTCGTTTCATTGAGTTGATATGTCTGTCTGTCAAAGTGGTTATTTACCAGTTTAGTCCTCGAGCCCTATGAAGTGTCAATTGAGTCCAATTAGGAGTAATAGTCAGTTGAGAGTCATGGAGAACATGATGCTCATTTCCAGGAGTGTCTTGTTAGTGGTCATGGTTGTGGAAGCCAGGTTTGTGGCTGAAATGCAAGAGTACATAAGTGTCTTTGTCAATTTCGAATAAACTGTTAGATTGCAATACTTTGGTTTTCACATTGTGGTATCAGAGCACTAAGCAAACTGTAACCACTAACTGTGATTGAGAGAGTTTTTTTCAGAAAAAGCATCTGGTAATCTAGGACTAGAGAAACACGAGAGACTACTAGAGAGGTTGCTTTCAGGGGAAAAGGTGAGAGATATTTGTGAAACCGTGTCAGATCACCATGACTGACAAAGGCAGTGCTGCTCAGGTCTGCATTCCCAAATTCGATGGGGATTATGAGCACTGGACCTTACTTATGGAGAATCACCTTAGATCGAAGGAGTACTGGACTGTGATCAGTCCTGGAATCAGAGAACCTGCTGAAGGAGAACTACTTACAATAGCACAACAAAAGACCTTGGATGAGTTGAGACTCAATGATCTTAAAGCAAATAACTATCTATTCAAGTCTATTGACAGAACTCTTCTGAAGACAATTGCAAAGAAGGAAACTACCAAGGAGCTTTGGGATTCAATGAAGGAAAAGTTTCAAGGGAGTGCTCGAGTTCAAAGGCTGAACTTCAGGTACTGAGGAGAAACTTTGAATTACTTGAGATGAAGGAAGGAGAATCCATTTCTGAGTACTTTGGTAGGGTCATGGTAATTTCAAATATTACGAGGAACTGTGGAGAGGATATGCCAAATGAAAAAGTGGTTGAGAAAATCTTGAGAACCTTGACTGATAGATTCAATTATGTTGTCTGTTCTATCGAGGAATCCAAAGATATTGACCTCTTAACAGTTGATGCTCTCCAAAGTTCATTGCTGGTTCATGAGCAGAAGTTCAACAGAAAAAACTACAAAAGCTGTGATTGAGGATGACCAAGCTCTCAGGATATCCTATGACTATGGGAGAGGAGGGAGAGGTCAAGGAAGGGGATATGGTGGTCCAGGACATAGAAGAGGAAGGGGTAGAAGCTGGAATAGAGAAGTTGTTCAGTGCTACAGATGTCACAAACTGGGGCATTTCAGGTATGAGTGCCCTGACTGGTACATTGGTCCACAAGCAAACTATGTCAACTCTAGTCAAGTGCATACCAAAGCTCGAGGGGATATGAATGATGATGTGTTAATCATGGCCTGTATTGATTCTAAAAGTTCACTAGAGTTGGAGGAAGAAGCACAAGGTCTGATGGCTTTGCTTGAAGAAGTAAAGCAAGACATGAAGACTGGTGGTTTTTAGACTCAGGATGTAGCAATCATATGACAAGAGACAAAAGGTGGTTCACTGAATTGAATACCAGCTCGACAGGTATTGTTAGACTTGGTAATAACAGTAAGCTGGAGGTTGCAGCAAAGGGCAATGTAAAAATTTTAGCTGCAAACTTGAACATGATTATCAGTGATGTCTTTTATGTTCCTGGTCTCAAGACTAATCTGCTGAGCATTGGCCAGTTACAAGAGAAGGGTCTGGATTTTCTATTCAAGGATGAATGCTGCAAGATCTTTCATGAAGAAACGGGCTTACTGCTGCAGACTGAGATGAAGTAGTCCAATCGGATGTTTGTCATACATCCTGAAGAACAACCAAAAGGTCAGAAATTTCAATGCTTTCAAATTGCCAATGGCAAAGAGAAAGACCTGTAGTTGTGGCACAGAAGATTTGGACACACTAATATACAAGGACTGAAGCAACTGGAGCATAATGGTTTTGTTGTGGACTTACCTGCATTGAAAGGAGATTTGGAGGTCTGTGCAACTTGTCTCATTTGCAAGCAACATAGAAAGCCATTTCCCAGGAAGAGTTTTTGGAGAGCAAATCAGAAGCTGGAACTTATACATGCTAATCTTTACGGCCCTCTTACATTAGTGTCAAATGGTGGGAAAATGTATATATTCACTTTGACTGATGATTTTAGCAGGAAGCTATGAGTTTATTTCCTAGTAGCTAAATCACAAACTCTTGAGTGGTTTAAGAAATATAAAGATCAGGTTGAACAAGAATATGGTTTAAAGATAAAATGCTTGAGAACTGATAGGGAAGGTGAATTCATGCTCACTGAATTCAAAGAATTGTGTGATGAAGTTGGAATCAAAAGGCTGAACATGGTTGGATGCGTGCTACCAGATATGAAGGTTCCAGCTGCCTTATAGCCAGAAGCAGTAGCCTGCAAAACTCATGTCCTGAACAGAAGCTCAACAGCAGCAAATCAAGGTAGAACTCCTCAGAAACTGTGGACTAGACACCCTCCCTCTGTCTCCCACTTTCGAGTCTTTGGGTGTGTTGCATATATGCATGTTCCAGATCAGCAGAGAAAGAAGTTAGATGATAAGAGCACTCTCTGGTAGATTCTTGGTATTTTAGTTGAGTCAAAGGCCTACAAACTCTATAACCTCAACACCAAAAAGGTTGTGGTTAGTAAGGATGTAGTATTTGATGAAACTAAAGGATGGAGTTGGAATTCCGAGGAAGAAACTGTGCCGACACAATTGTCTTGGGAAGGAAGTGATCAGGAGTGGTTTGATTCATACACAAAAGGTGATTTTGCAAAATTATGTAAGCCAGTTGTTTCAGCAGACACAGAACCAGAACAACCTTCAAATCCTAAAACACCACAAGGATCAGGAGAAGGTGATGGATCCAATAATAATGATGAGAACACTAATGTTGTGGAGACACCAAAAGCTACCCGGGAAAAAGAGTCAGTAAGCTACCTGGTCATTTCCAGAACTTTGAAATGAGTTTCATTGCTACTAATTGGGTAGCCATGGTTACTGTAACTCATGATTCTCAAACATTTGAGGAGGCAATGTTGGATCCTAAGTGGAATGCAGCAATGTAGGAGGAGATGAATTCAATCAAGAAGAACAATACTTGGACTCTAACTACTCTCCCTGAAGGTTTTGAAGCCATTGGTCTGAAATGGGTTTACAAGACCAAACTACAGGAAGATGGGAATGTGGATAAGTTCAAAGCTAGGGGTACTCTCAGAAAGAAGGAATAAACTAAACTGAGGTCTTTGCTTCAGTAGCTAGATGGGACACCATCAGGACTTTCTTAGCACTGGCAGCATACCATAGCATCACAGTTTACCAACTAGATGTCAAAAGTGCTTTTCTTAATGGAGAACTCACTGAGGAAGTTTATGTGGAGCAGCCACCAGGGTTTGTGGTTTCTGGGGAGGAAAATAAGGTTTACATGACTCCACAAAGCACTCTATGGCCTCAAGAAGGCACCTAGAGCCTGGTACAACAGGATAGAATCCTATTTTGTGAAGTCTGGGTTTGAAAGGAGTCCCTATGGACACACTTTGTTTGTCAAGAAGGCTGGAACTAGTATTCTGATCCTAAGCTAGTATGTAGATGATCTGATGTATGCAAGAAATGATCCTGGGATGCTTGCCGAGTTTAAGCAGGCAATGCAATCAGAGTTTGAAATGACATATTTGGGGAGGATGCATTACTTTCGGGGAGTTGAAGTCAGTCAAAAGGAATCTATAGCATTTATCAGTCAACAAAAATATGTAAAAGAGAAACTGGAATAGTTTAGGCTATCAGATCGTAATCATGTGCACAACCCTATGAGTCTTGGATGCAAATTGAACAAGGCTGGGGATGGAGTGATGGTGAATCCTACTGAATAAAAGCAGCTGATTAGGAGCCTGTTGTATGTAACAGTAACCATATCTGATATCATGTGTCCAGTTTGCTTTCTTAGCAGGTTTATGGAACATCTAACTCGACAACACATGTTAGCTGCCAAGAGGGTGTTAAGATATCTGAAAGGAATTGTGAGCCTGGCATCTGGTACAAGCAAAGAGGGGAGGAAGAGGAGGAGCTGCTAGGGTACACCGACGGTGACTGTGCTGGAGACACTGATGACAGGAAGAGTACAGAAGGTTATGTGTTTTTGTTGGCAGGTGGAGTTATCTCGTGGGCCTCCAAGAAGCAGCCTGTGGTTGCCTTGTCGACCAAAGAAGCAGAATTTGTTGCTGCATCCCACTGTGCTGCACATAGTGTTTTGCTTCAAAGAATTTTGGAACAGATGGGATGGTGGAAAAGTGTGAAGAAGGCCACAACCATCTTCTGTGATAACAGTTCAGCAATCAAACTT